TCCGCCCCCAGCGCCTCAGTCGAGGCGGCAGTCGGACGAGTGGGGATGTGAGGGATCTTCATTCGGTCTGCGTTACATGACCGGGCGGGCGTGCGAGAGGTGGAGGTGCCGGGATAATCGGGAGGTGCTGTGTTGGACGGTGAATGGAGTAAAGGACAGTATACAGCGGAGGACTGCTCCGACGTCGTTACGGGTAACGGATCACGGTGCGACAGAAAGACATAAGGACGGAGCCGACGGATTCGACCGAAAGGCGTCATGTCGTCGGAATCCAAGGCACCGGAATCGCGAGAAGTGCACTACGCTGAACACCTTGTAGCACTGCAGTCACGGGAAGGTAAGGAATATGGATATCAAGTATAAATATGCCGTACACAAATGGAATGGTGACGAAATAGGTACGCGCTTTTTGTATTTTTCCCCTGGCGCATCAGTGATGGATGGTGTAGCGGCCAGCGCTAGGTCAACAGTGAGCGCCACCCTTGTCGGAACCGTTGGTTCGGGATCGCTCCTATAGGTGTCAGAACCAGCGACTTGTTGACGGTTGTGCCCGCGTATTTACAAATTGCAACCGAGCTCCGCCGTGGGGTAAGGTGGGCAGGGGTTTTCGCACTACGGCTGCGGTTGAACTACCGTCTGTGGTAGAAATTTCAGGACGATGGCGCGTTTGATACGAAATCTGGCGCAATGTTTGTTTGCTTCTGAATTTGTATTGTTGTTGCTGTGAATTCTTGAAGTGGGAGTGCTTCAATAACAATTTGTGGATTATTTGAGTTTCTTTGTATAAACATAGAATAGTATTATGAAACATTGTGTGGAAACTGCAAATACTGATATGATCAATTACTGAGTTTGGGAATTAATCCACATTTTGTAGAGATTTGTCTGGCAAATTGAAATGGTGTAAGTTGTAACAAACCTCAAGCCTATCATGATCTGAAGCTGTTGTAACAAATCAAAATTGCTTTGATGTTACATAGTACCTTGTTGGAAAGACTGAAGCATGGTTCAAGATGATGTGTAAAAATTCAAGATTTGTGCGAAAGCTTGTGACTGAAGAACGAAAACAGTTCTATATGATGGCTCAATCAAACGTGGATATGGACGACAAAAGTAGAGTTTCAACATTCCAGCATGTGAGAATAACTTCAGAAAGTCATAGTTCTTGTAGCATTGCACTCTTCTTATGTACAGTTATAGGTTTTGTCAGGGTATTTCAAATTCATTGTGTCAGTTGAGATACAGATGGATTGCGGACAAATTTTAGAATCATTGCATGATAGCTAGGTAGGTACTTGTTCGGTAAAAAGGTATGTGATGAATGCCATGAGAAGGTGTTTTATGATTTAATATATGGTCGTTGTTGTACCTAAAAATGCAAGCTTACTAGCAACTAGTTTCTGAATCAAATCAAAAGTATTTGCCATGAATGTAAATATGTACCTGCAAAGTATGTCAATAAATTTGTGTGATGTTGACCAGAGAGCTTTATCATCTGGGCATTTATGTCGCTTCTTACATTAGGTGTCAAGCATAGTAATTACGGATGAACTTTGTGCCAATATCTTCACTGCACAATGTATGTAGCATGTCTACAACCCTCACTGATCCTGCTATAGCTATAGGCATCTGGCACCAGCAAGGCCAAGGGCATGAACTTCAGAGTTGCACAACCTTTTGTCATGTACCACCAGTCACTTTTTTTACTAGTAAGGTGCACATAGCAGTGGACACAACAATGTGCAGAGGGCCTACACAAAAACAGCATGATTAGTGTGCACTATGCACAGCATTGTACCATGATTATTTGAATATTTTGATCACTCAAAGTCAACAGTCAACAGTCAGGAGATATGCCCACTTGTTTGTGGTTGTCGGGTGAACCGAAAAATAAATAAATAATAAAATAATTATTGAATATCACATTTATTTTACATCACTTGTCAAACAAGAGCATGATGACACACATTTTGACAAGCAATCATGGTAGTATTTCAATAAGTTGGACAGTCACCTCCCTGGGCGTCATTTTTCCAGGAAGGTACCTCTGCAGGTGTTGTTGTAGGCTAGGTTGAATTGGGTTAAGTTAGGCGAAGTAAGGTGGTTAGGACCAGGTCAGGTCAGACCGTAAGGCCTGGTCAGGTTGATTTTAATCTTTCATTCTAATTTGACATAGATACCTATTACCTATGTTTTTTCTCCAGCCTGAATTTCATTAGGTAATGAGTTAATTTTGCTTTGTTTTTATCTGTGCTTGTGTTTTTGTCCCTTATATTTTGCCCCATAGGCAAGGGTGGAGCTTTTCCAGGGAAGGTGGTGGAGCATGATTGGAGGCGCTCAACCAGACGGCATAGGAGGGCACGGTTTCTGAACGCGCACTGATGCCTGATTCAAGCAGTAATCTTGATTCAAGCCATGCTGTCTTCATGCGGGGCGGAGCGCTACTTAAAAGTCCCTAAAAGACCGGGAAGTGATGCCGATAGAACCTTCAATCATTCTGGGCTAACGATTATGACTTGGAAAAAGTCGCGATTCCAATTCAATCGAAAATCTGTGGGCTCTTGTTCAGCAGGAGGTGTATGAAGAGCCACCCGCCATAAGCACTGCTCAACCGCAGGCACAGGTTTAGACGGCGTTGGTCCACATCAAAGCCAGTGTGCTGGAGAATCCATTGGCTGAAATGCTCCAGAACATTCGCCACTGTTTTTATGAAAGGTGGCTACAAGCTCAGTTAAAAGAAAAAGTACCAGATTGTTTTGCTTTTTAATTACAGCGGGAAGAAAGGTGTCCGGATAATTTCGTTACACCCCCTGTAATGTTCAAATGGTTGCTAAATTCGAAATCAGCTCTAAAACTAGCCTAGAAACATGTAAAACTCGAAAAAGTGAACCGAGGTCATCAAAGGTCATTGAGGTGACCTGACCTTCAGGTGACCTTGACACCCACCCTAATGCATGGGACCAGCATCATATCACATGTTTCAACGCTGGAAACCACGTGAAGACTGCAACCGCGCGGCTAATGCGAGCCGACATACGCCGAATCGCGATTCGGGCCAAATATGGTCTCGAGAAATAGGTCACAGGTCAAAGGTCATTTGGGTCAGAGTCATGAAATTTTCAGGGTAGGTGTAAAATTGATAAAATCGGGGGTGTTGAAAGTTTCGTCGCGATCGGACGGTTTTTACGCGAGTTACTCACGAAAAACCGATAAAGCGCACCCAAAAAGGCAGAAATATGCACATGCGATATCCTATACTGCGAAAAAAGGTGCATCATTTTTTAACGTCGCCGACAAATTCTAATTACCCTAAGCTCAGGCAGATGTATGGTAGAAAATCCCCCAAGTGAAATATACTACGGCGGAAATAAAATACCCTACGGCGGAGCTCGGTTGCAATTTGTAAATACGCGTTGTGCCCGGCGCGGTGGTTCGCATTTCGAGGCCTATTTTCTGTGCGGCCGATGTCATTTCGAGGTCAATCTGTTTCAGAGCTAGTGATGTAGTGATGTTTGAATAACATTCGCGCTTGATGGCGGCGAGAGGAACTGCCGTCTCTCTTGGTGAAGTTTGACACGCCTAAACCGTCGGTAAGAGTCATTATCGTTAGTGTCGTTTATGATCTAAAGAGCGGAATTGTGTATCAGAAAATAGATATCGTATAATATGTTTGGTACTGCCGGTGAATGAGGCATTGAATTTTGGCAATGCGCCAAATTTGCCAGCGTTTTGTCGTTTCTGTATTATGTGTATCAGACTGAGTTGGTTCAAATGTATTTGTTTGCCTTTTATGTTTCAGAAACCATGCATGCATGCGTGCTGAACATGCTGGAATACATGAGCATGAGTGGACGAACGGCGTATTTCAAGTAAAGTGAACCTAGGCGTATGCGCGGGCGCCTACAGTTTCGACGCCTGGCTGAGGGCTGAACCGCCCTGTCTATCTTCGAGTCTTCTTGCTTCTGCTGATGCCTGGGAGGCACTGGAGAGCTTTGACACTGCAGAGAGCGTCCTCGACTCTACAAGGGCTGCCTTCCCTCCTAGATCAAGATAGGATGCTACGCTGGAACAGTGAGCCACAGCCTCTGAGTCAAGGTACGGAACCTTCTGGTGTGATGAACTGATACTGAGTGCTCTCAAAGATTGATTTCGTTCAAGGTTCCTGTGCTGCCAGTGTTGGCTCTGTGCCAGATGTGGTGACACAACACCAGATAGTGCCGAGACTGGATTCTGTGTGTGTTTAAGGTGTCTGTGAACCTGAATGTTGTTTACTTGACCATTGTTACTCATTGTTACTGGATATGGAGCACTTAAATACCTTGAAAGTTTCTCAGGTAAAGGAACAGTTATCGCTCAGGGGTAAGGATATAAAGGGCACAAAGGCTGTCATTGTTGCTCGTCTTAAGGATGCCTTGGATGAGGAAGGCCTAGATCCAGAGACATTTGTTAGCCAACTGGAATCAGATGCTGTCAGGCCTCAGGATAGTGTGTCACAAGCAGCAGGGTCTCAGGTCAGCAAGGCTAGATCTTCAGTGGCAGGATCAGTTGTTCTGAAGCAGTTAGATGAAGCTGCTACTCAGGCTAGTCTCGAGGCAAGGTTAAAGCGACTCGAGGAGAGGCAGGCCATAGATAGACAGTTGGCTGAACTGCAGAGGCAGAAAGAAATGTTAGAGCTGCAAGAAGCCATTGAGATGTCGAAAGCAAAGACAAAGGTGTTGTCAGAGTTCCAGAAGGTTAATGTAGAGTCCCTACCTCAGATGGACACTGACCTTTCAGAATCCAAAGCGCCAATCCTTGACAAGCCAGTGAAGACCTCAGATCCTGAGCCTCAGACCTCGGATGATGGACTTCACATGCAGCAAAGCCAAAATCCAACTTGCAAATCCACATCCACATCACGTTCTGACCCACTTCAAGACTATGCTGGACTTCTTCGTCTTCCTGTGGTTGAGGTCAAGAAGTTCAGTGGAGAAGTGACAGAGTTTGCTCAATTTCTGAGATCTTTTGACCTGAAGATCAGTTCCAAGGTCACTGACGACAAGGAGAGACTATATTATCTTGAGCAACATATGGTAGAGGGCACTAAGCCATACCACATCGTCGCGAGCTGTCTCTACAGGGAAGATGGCTATGCTGAGGCAAGAAGGCTGCTCCAGAAGAGGTACGGGCAGCCAAGTACTCTGGCATCTTCTTACTTGAAGAGAATCGAGGATCAGAAACCAATTGGAAATGACGACAGTGATGCTCTTGACAGGTTTGCCATACTCCTGACCTCATGTAAAAATGCATTAGAAGGGAGTCATCTGATGGATGATCCTAAGACTCTGAGAACCATCACCACGAAGCTGCCACACTATCTGATCCACCACTGGCGTCGGAGAGCAGATGACATTGAAGAACACGGAAGCAAGGCAACATATGAAGATCTGGTTGAGTTTGTAACCAAAGAAGCAAGAGTTGCATCGAATGCTGCGTTTGGCCAGCACATGTATGAGACGCAGCAGAAGAAGTCAGAACGCCTGAGGCAGACTCCTCAGACGTACAAGCAGAAGCCCATGGTGGCGGCTACCAGAGCAGAACATGGAGTCAAAAACAGGGATGGTCCTCCAACAAGGGAGTGTGGATACTGTGGAAGAGAGGGTCATCAAGTAACAGAGTGCCACCGGCTTGCTGAAGTTCCGTGGCCAGAGAAGAGAGACTTTGTGATGAGGATGGCATTGTGCTTCAGTTGTCTGAAGCAGGGGCACAGGAGCAGTGAGTGCAGGTGGAGAGCAACCTGTAGAACGTGCCACAGGAGACATCCAACATCTCTTCATCGTCAAGTGAGCGCTGGTGAAGATGAACATCAACAGCTTCAGCAACAGGAGCAACCTGGTAGTCAGCAGAGGGGGCAGGTCAGTTCAGCAAATGTCACATCATGTAAGACAGCAGTTGATGCCTCCAGCACACCAGTCCTTCCAGTCGTTCCTGTCATCGTGCATAGCCCTCTAGGACAGACAAGGACGTATGCATTCTTAGATAGTGGCTCGACACACTCATTCATATCATCAGCACTTTTTAATGAGGTGGGCATGAACAGTGTTCCTCGTACACATCTCTCGCTCACCACAGTAGACAGAGACGTCAGTGTGGAGACCCAGGCTGCTGATGGAGTGTGGATTTCTGATTTGCAGGGAGAGAACCAGTTGCAACTGCCGACACTTTTCACTCTCGCCAACATCCCAGTGGCAGAAAGAGACTTCCCGACGGTGTCAGAGGTGCGTAAGTGGGAGCACTTGAGAGATCTTCCTCTGCCGCAGCTGGAGAATCGACATGTGGGCCTGTTGCTGGGCGCTAACGCCTTCCTGGCGATGGAGCCGCTTGAAGTCATACCGAGCAGAGCTGGGAGTCCGTACGCAGTGCGGACCAGGTATGGCTGGACGCTGGGAGGCTTGAGAAGCGGTCCACAGACATCGTCGATTGCGAGAGTGTGCAGGACGTCGGTGAAGACCGATCAGGAGCTGGAGCGTATGATCGAGCAGATGTACAATTCAGAGTATGAAGAGAATTTGAACTCTACGAAGAAGGGAGCATCTGTAGAGGACAGAGAATGGCAGAAGAAGGTGGAAGAGTCTATCTACTCTGAGGACGGACACTACGTGATCAGTCTTCCTCTCACTGAAGACAAGCTGAATCTCCCAAACAACATCGAAATGGCAAGAGGGAGACTGGAAGGACTAAGAAAGAAGTTCAAGAGAAACGAGAAGCTCGCAGAAGGATACAGAAACAGCGTAAAGGAGATGATAGACCTGGGATATGCAGAGCCAGTACCACAGGACTGCTTGCAACGAGATGATGGTTTCGTGTGGTACCTACCTCATTTCGCTGTTGAACACCCGCGGAAGCCTGGAAAGGTTCGTGTCGTGTACGATTGTGCGGCAAAGTACAGGGGTGTGTGCTTGAATGACTTCCTGTTACAAGGACCAGATCAAACCAATTCACTCATGGATGTTCTGATGCGGTTTCGAACCGAGAAGGTCGCCTTTATTGGCGATATTCAGAGCATGTTCAATCAGGTGAGGGTGCCAGAAGCTGACCGTGATCTTTTGAGGTTCCTCTGGTGGGATGGGGGTGACCCGGAGAACAAGATTGTGCAGTTCAGGATGACGGTCCACTTGTTCGGAGCCAGCTCGTCTCCCAGTGTGGCATGCTATGCCCTCAGGAGGACTGCAAGCGACCATGAGGATGCGTTTTCTCCAGAGGCCATTTCTACTTTAAGGAGTAACTTCTATGTGGACGACGTATTGAAGTCCTGCCCTACCGAGGAAGGTGCAGCACACCTCGCCCTGGAGCTGAAGGAGCTGTGTCAGAAGGGAGGCTTCAACCTCACGAAATTCATGAGTAACAGCCAAGCTGTGGCTTCATCATTTCAGACTGAAGACAGGTCCAAGGAACTGAAGCGGTGGTCCGGTCCGGAAGAGCAACTCCCTGAAGAGCGGGCGCTCGGAGTCATCTGGCAAACTGAAGCAGACAGACTGAAGGTCTCTGTCGATCTGGAGAATCTTCGCTCAAAGTCACTGACGAGAAGAGGACTTCTATCAGCGGTGAGCAGTCTATACGACCCGTTGGGCATGATTGCACCAACAGTCTTTTCAGGTCGGCTCATCCTGCAGGAGCTATGCCGACGACAGATTCTGTGGGATGAAGACTTGCCTGACACCCAGCGACAGGAGTGGATGGCGTGGCTGTCCAGCGCTGCAGCAGCGGACTCTGTATCTGTTCAGAGGAGCATGATACCTGACGGCTTCGGTGAGGTGCTCCGGTATCAGATTCACCACTTCGCAGACGCGAGTGAGAAAGGATATGGCACAGTGTCGTATGTGAGGATGGTGAACTCAAGTGGGCGTGTTCATTGCTCTTTCTTGAAAGGAAAGTCACATCTGGCGCCGTTGAAGAAGGTGCCGATCCCGCGCCTAGAACTGATGGCGGCTGTAACAGCAGTGAAGATGAGCTCAATGATAACAGACGCTGTGGAGTTTGTGAGCCCAGGACATGCGGTGACTGAAGAGCTGTTCTGGACAGACAGCACCACCGTGCTCCGGTACATTCAGAACAGGAAAACAAGATTTCAAACTTTCGTGGCCAACAGGTTGGCCATCATTCACGACAGCACGAAGCCAGAACAATGGAGATATGTCCCCAGTGAGCTGAACCCAGCTGATGATGCCTCCAGAGGCGTCCAAGGCGAGAGGTGGCTGGTCGGACCCCAGTTCTTGACACTGGGAGAAGAAGACTGGCCAAAGGCACCGCCAGCTATGGACAAGCTGACAGATACTGATCTAGAGGTGAAGAGAGCAACAAGTTGTGCGATTGCTGCGACTGAAGACGAGTCTGCGGACAGGCAAGATCCCATGGAGAAACTGGTGAACTACTACAGTGACAAGCACTCTCTGTTAAGAGGCTTGGCCTGGCTTCTTCGCGTTCGACAGCGTCTTGTGAAGAAGACCCGGCCGTCGCCATCACGACTCGAAGCAGCTGAGCTACGAGAGGCAGAGAGACTGTTGATCAAGTGGGTTCAGAGGAGCAGCTTTCCCCAGGAGTACGCGGATCTGGAGAAGGGACGACCAGTCTCAAGGAGCAGCAGGATCGCCATACTCTGTCCAGTCATGGTGGATGGAATCATGCGTGTAGGTGGAAGGTTGCAGAACGCTGACGTAGCGTCTGAGGTTAAACACCCCATCATACTTCCGAGTGAGGGACATTTCACAGAGCTGGTTGTACAAGAGGCCCATGAGAGGACTGGGCACTCGGGCCGACAGCTGGTGTTATCGAAGCTGCGGAATCGTTTCTGGATTGTACGCGGCAGCACGTGTGTCCGAAGAGTTCTTCGTCAGTGTGCAGTCTGCCGCAGACATCAGCCTCCAGAAAGTCAGAAGATGGCCGACTTGCCCATGGATCGTGTAGCATTTGAACCAGCATTCACACACACAGGTGTGGATTTCTTTGGTCCTTTCCATGTGAAGCAGCTCAGAAGTAGAGTTAAACGATATGGCGTCATATTCACATGTCTTTCAACAAGAGCAGTTCATATAGAAGTAGCGGAAGACTTATCATCGAACTCATTCATCTGCGCGCTGCTCAGGTTCAAGTCCCGGAGAATCCATGTGAAATCGCTGAGATCAGATCAAGGCACGAACTTTGTAGGAGCGAGTAAAGAGTTGAAACGAGAACTTCAGAAGCTGAAAGAAAGTGAAGAGTCAGTCCACAAGACGATGTTGAAGCATGAGATTGAATTCAAGTTCAACACAGCGGCAGCAAGCCATCACGGAGGAGCGTGGGAGCGCCAAATCAGGTCTATCAGGCGGATCTTGGACAGACTGCTGACAACGCAGAACCTGAAGGAGGAGACGTTGACGACACTTCTCTGCGAGATTGAATCTATATTGAACAGCAGGCCCCTGACTCCTGTCTCCTTTGATCCAAGGGACCCAGAACCGCTCACCCCGAACCACCTTCTGAACTTGGGCACTGGTAGCGTGATGATGCCGTTCGGGCTAGTAGAGGACGGTGATGATAGTGGTCGTAGGCGTTGGAAGCAAGTGCGCTATTTATCAGAGATGTTTTGGAAAAGATGGAGGGCAGAGTACTTGCCGCTCCTCCAGGGCAGGCCTAACATGGTGACGAGAATGCGAGCGAATCTAGCGGTAGGTGACACTGTTCTGATCTCGGATAGCGCTGTACCGCGTGGGCAGTGGCCGCTGGGCCGAGTTGTAGCAGTTAAGGTGGGCGCAGACGGGTTAGTCCGCTCGGTAGAGGTGAGCACACGTGGCCTGGTGCTCCAACGCCCTATCACCAAGTTGGTGAAGCTGTACGGTACGCAGTAAGGTCACGAGTCGTTCTGAAACTGTGCTATCTTTGGTTTCGTGTTAAACTGGGTGCAATGTGATGTATGATTATATGTTAGGATTAAGTTCGTTGCTGTTACATGCCAAGTGTATTGATGTACAAACCGTTGACTTGTGAGCGCTACCTCTCTGTTGAAGTCTGGTGCCTTCAAGGGGGAGGGTGTAGCGGCCAGCGCTAGGTCAACAGTGAGCGCCACCCTTGTCGGAACCGTTGGTTCGGGATCGCTCCTATAGGTGTCAGAACCAGCGACTTGTTGACGGTTGTGCCCGGCGCGGTGGTTCGCATTTCGAGGCCTATTTTCTGTGCGGCCGATGTCATTTCGAGGTCAATCTGTTTCAGAGCTAGTGATGTAGTGATGTTTGAATAACATTCGCGCTTGATGGCGGCGAGAGGAACTGCCGTCTCTCTTGGTGAAGTTTGACACGCCTAAACCGTCGGTAAGAGTCATTATCGTTAGTGTCGTTTATGATCTAAAGAGCGGAATTGTGTATCAGAAAATAGATATCGTATAATATGTTTGGTACTGCCGGTGAATGAGGCATTGAATTTTGGCAATGCGCCAAATTTGCCAGCGTTTTGTCGTTTCTGTATTATGTGTATCAGACTGAGTTGGTTCAAATGTATTTGTTTGCCTTTTATGTTTCAGAAACCATGCATGCATGCGTGCTGAACATGCTGGAATACATGAGCATGAGTGGACGAACGGCGTATTTCAAGTAAAGTGAACCTAGGCGTATGCGCGGGCGCCTACAGATGGCATGAGACAACTGTTCATCGTACGATCAGTCATTGCGCACACCATCACATCAGTTAACCATTCAATGGTCTCACACATGTAAAACTGGAAACGGTGATATCCAGGGGCGTCGACACCGGTCCGACTTTTCCGACTAGTCGGACCACTTTTTCGACTAGGCGGTGCCCTGCTGTGGCTCGCGGGGCCCCTGCTGCAGACCGCGGGGGCCCTACTGCGGCTCGGGGGGCCCTGCTAGAGACCGCGGGGGCCCTGCTGCGCCTCTGGGGCCCTGCTAGCCACCGCGGGGCCCTGCTGCGGCCCGCGGGGTCCCCTTCTGCGGCCGCGGGGGGCCCCTGTTGGGGCTCTCGGGGGGCCCTGCTGCGGCCACGGGGGCCCCTGCTGCGGCAACGGGGGCCCCCCGCTGCGGCTCGCGGGGGCCCTGCTGCGCCTCGCGGGGCCCTCGCGACACCTGGGGGCCCCCACCGGTGGGGGCCCCCCGAGAAAAAGTCGGACCAGTTTTCCTTACGCGTCGACGCCCCTGGTGATATCGGTAGGTATGTACGTACACTCGAAAATGGCCTAAGCGCTTTCGATAGAGCTTCGTAGGACTTGCGAAATAGCATCTAAAAGTTATTTCAATTTTGCTTTTTCAGGTTCTTCTTCGAGACACTTAATGAATTTCTTATCGGTCTTCAAGTTCCTTTTTAATTGTTACCGCTCTTAAAAAGGTTAGGTTTGATATTCACGGCATTGTACCGATAACGAACCCAAGCGGCCAGTAGTCGGTAGCTATGTAACTTACCTAGGGTGATGAGCGTCAGCCACGGTCCCGCCATGGTGACCCGGTGTGCAGGGACGACTGACTGCCGCTCCGCTGACCGCCGCTTACCGTCACCCTGTTGACCTGTCGCCCGGGTGACCTGGCGCCGCCAACGGACCTCTCTGCGCGCGAACCGAACGCGACGCCGAGCTGGCACGCCATCGCGTAATTCCCGGCCGAGCCGGCGCCGCTGCCAGTAGCGACGCTTTGCATACGGGTGGGCGGACCGTCATGGTTAACCCGCGCCCCGTAGGGGGGGGGGGGGCGAAACGGCCTCCCCCTGTCCTTTTCCGTTGATACCCCCTAATCGGCTGCAGATATCGCCACCAAACTTTCAGAACAATTCCGGGCGTCAATTTTACACATTGTGACCAAAAATTGTTCCAGAGGCTACGATAGGTTGGCCACAAATGACGTCAGAATGACGTCATGTTCTGCCATTTTCGACCGAAAAAAAGCTTCGCGAGAAGAGTTGTCAGGCCAATCAAGACATAAAAGGTGCAAACTGCAAGGCCCTATATAGAAAAGGCGTGGAGCCTTCGCGCGGCCCTCAACAGCGCCGTAGCGCCTTAACCCGCGCCCCGTAGGGCTACCGGCGGACCCTACCACCCGTAGGGGGGGGGGGGCGTTTCGGCCCCCCCTAAGATCTCGGAAAGTTACCGGCCGATTTTCAAAATTCAAACGGCGTTCGATAGCCCCACCCGGGAACTACCTTGTGACCAAATTTCATTGACCTAGGTCAAACCGATGACGTCACAGGTCAGGTCAAAGGTCAGATTTTCACCGTTCACAGGCAATTCAAGAAATGTGCTGTGAAAGCGAGTAAATTGGTAATTTATTGAAAACCATCGATGGTACATTGTTCGTCAAACACATACTTTGCTATTTGAGGTCACTGATACCAGGTCAGGTCACAGCGAGGTCAGGTCACCGGGGGTCACAATATGAATGTGTCGTGTGATACATGTTTTATGGTCCATTTTACATGACAAATGCGATTATGTGGGTTAGGCAGCCTTTGGGGCCAGCCTAGGTCACGTTTTGGTGAAGGTCAGGTCAAGGTCAGGTCAAATTAGGTCAAATTTCAAAGTTGATATTTTTGCATAAAATGGGTATCGATTCGATGCAGCTCGTCACGGGGAGTCTAATGGTGGTCTTCGTTTTGCTCTACGAGTTCTAGAATTGCCAAAAATTGAGTTTGAAAATTTGACGTCATCATTTTTGAACAGTTTTTTCGCTATAACTTGGCCAAAAAACGAGGTATCGATCTGAAATTTGGTATGTAGATAGAAGACGGTATGCACTATCACATATATTCCGGTTTTTTTTCGAAACTCAAAAAATTTTTGGTTTTTTTGGCGAATATATCCAAAAAAATGCTTTTTTGATTTTTAGGGGTCAAAACTCAAACATTTCAAAAATTCGAGATAGCAGTTTTGTAGCCCTGTCAATTCTTCACCTTTTATGTCTTGATCATTTTTCTGTATCTTCAAAGCTGTAGTCCTGACAGGTCTTCTCGCGAAGGTCTTTTTTCGGTCGAAAATGACAGAACATGACGTCACTCTGACGTCATTTGTGGCCAACCTATCATAGCCTCTGGAAAAATTTTTGGTCACAATGTGTAAAATTGATGCCCGGAGGGGTCCTGAAAGTTTGGTGGCGATATCTCCAGCCGTTTAGGAGATATCGACCGAAAAGGACAGGGGGGGCCGTTTCGGCCCCCCCCCCTACGGGGCGCAGGTTAACCCTCGCCCGCATAGATGTCCGTGAAGTTAGCGTCAGCAACAGCAACGAATACAGCGTCGGATTCAGAATCGCTTAAAAAACTCATGTTAGGTCAATTGGGGGACGGGGAGCAAGAATATGACCTTTATTTGGCCCTAGCTCTTACCCCTTACCCCTTAATCGGCCCTTAAAGGAAGGGGCGCGTCAAAAGTGCCTCAAGAGTTCGTCTGATCGCCAAAAATAAGGGTCGCAATCGATTTCTCGGGTCGATATCTAGCCGCAGCCTCGGGTTCCAGATATGTGCAACTTACCCCTTACCCCTTAATCGGCCCTTAAAGGAAGGGGCGCGTCAAAAGTCCCTCAAAGGTTCGTCTGATCGCCAAAATAAGGGTCGCAATCGATTCCTCGGGTCAATATCTAGCCGCAGCCTCGGGTTCCAGATGTGTGCAACTTACCCCTTACCCCTTAATCGGCCCTTAAAGGAAGGGGCACGTCAAAAGTGCCTCAAGGGTTCGTCTGATCGCCAAAATAAGGGTCGCAATCGATTCCTCGGGTCAATATCTAGCCGCAGCCTCGGGTTCGAGATGTGTGCAACTTACCCCTTACCCCTTAATCGGCCCTTAAAGGAAGGGGCGCGTCAAAAGTGCCTCAAGGGTTCGTCTGATGGCCAAAATAAGGGTCGCAATCGATTCCTCGGGTCAATATCTAGCCGCAGCCTCAGGTTCCAGATGTGTGCAACTTACCCCTTACCCCTTAATCGGCCCTTAAAGGAAGGGGCGCGTCAAAAGTGCCTCAAGGGTTCGTCTGATCGCCAAAATAAGGGTCGCAATCGATTTCTCGGGTCAATATCTAGCCGCAGCCTCGGGTTCCAGATGTGTGCAACTTACCCCTTACCCCTTAATCGGCCATTAAAGTAAGGGGCGCGTCAAAAGTCCCTTAAGGGTTCGTCTGATCGCCAAAATAAGGGTCGCAATCGATTCCTCGGGTCAATATCTAGCCGCAGCCTTGGGTTCAAGATGTGTGCAACTTACCCCTTACCCCTTAATCGGCCCTTAAAGGAAGGGGCGCGTCAAAAGTGCCTCAAGGGTTCGTCTGATCGCCAAAATAAGGGTCGCAATCGATTCCTCGGGTTAATATCTAGCCGCAGCCTCGGGTTCAAGATGTGTGCAACTTACCCCTTACCCCTTAATCGGCCCTTAAAGGAAGGGGCACGTCAAAAGTGCCTCAAGGGTTCGTCTGATCGCCAAAAAAGGGTCGCAATCGATTCCTCGGGTCAATATCTAGCCGCAGGCTTGGGTTCCAGATGTGTGCAACTTACCCCTTACCCCTTAATCGGCCCTTAAAGGAAGGGGCGCGTCAAAAGTGCCTCAAGGGTCCGTCTGATCGCCAAAAAAAGGGTCGCAATCGATTCCTCTGGTCAATATCTAGCCGCAGCCTCGGGTTCCAGATGTGTGCAACTTACCCCTTACCCCTTAATCGGCCCTTAAAGGAAAGGGCGCGTCAAAAGTGCCTCAAGGAATCGTCTGATCGCCAAAATAAGGGTCGCAATCGAATCCTCGGGTCAATATCTAGCCGCAGCCTCGGGTTCCAGATGTGTGCAACTTACCCCTTACCCCTTAATCGGCCCTTAAAGGAAGGGGCGCGTCAAAAGTGCCTCAAGGGTTCGTCTGATCGCCAAAATAAGGGTCGCAATCGATTCCTCGGGTCAATATCTAGCCGCAGCCTCGGGTTTCAGATGTGTGCAACTTACCCCTTACCCCTTTATCGGCCCTTAAAGGAAGGGGCGCGTCAAAAGTGCCTCAAGGGTTCGTCTGATCGCCAAACTAAGGGTCGCAATCGATTCTTCGGGTCAATATCTAGCCGCAGCCTCGGGTTCCAGATGTGTGCAACTTACCCCTTACCCCTTAATCGGCCCTTAAAGGAAGGGGCGCGTCAAAAGTGCCTCAAGGGTTCGTCTGATCGCCAAAATAAGGGTCGCAATCGATTCCTCGGGTCAATATCTAGCCGCAGCCTCGGGTTCCAGATGTGTGCAACTTACCCCTTACCCCTTAATCGGCCCTTAAAGGAAGGGGCGCGTCAAAAGTGCCTCAAGGGTTCGTCTGATCGCCAAAATAAGGGACGCAATCGATTCCTCGGGTCAATATCTAGCCGCAGTCTCGGGTTCCAGATGTGTGCAACTTACCCCTTACCCCTTAATCGGCCCTTAAAGGAAGGGGCGCGTCAAAAGTGCCTCAAGGGTTCGTCTGATCGCCAAAATAAGGGTCGCAATCGATTCCTCGGGTCAATATCTAGCCGCAGCTCCGGGTTCCAGATGTGTGCAACTTACCCCTTACCCCTTAATCGGCCCTTAAAGGAAGGGGCGCGTCAAAAGTGTCTCAAGGGTTCGTCTGATCGCCAAAATAAGGGTCGCAATCGATTCCCCGGGTCAATATCTAGCCGCAGCCTCGGGTTCCAGATGTGTGCAACTTACCCCTTACCCCTTAATCGGCCCTTAAAGGAAGGGGCGCGTCAAAAGTGCCTGAAGGGTTCGTCTGATCGCCAAAATAACTGTCGCAATCAATTCCCCGGGTCAATATCTAGCCGCAGCCTCGGGTTCCAGATGTGTGCAACTTACCCCTTACCCCTTAATCGGCCCTTAAAGGAAGGGGCGCGTCAAAAGTGCCTGAAGGGTTCGTCTGATCGCCAAAATAACTGTCGCAATCGATTCCCCGGGTCAATATCTAGCCGCAGCCTCGGGTTCCAGATGTGTACAACCCTTACCCCTTAATCGGCCCTGAAAGGAAGGGGCGCGTCAAAAGTGCCTCAAGGGTTCGTCTGATCGCCAAAATAAGGGTCGCAATCGATTCCTCGGGTCAATATCTAGCCGCAGCCTCGGGTTCCAGATGTGTGCAACTTACCCCTTACCCCTTAATCGGCCCTTAAAGGAAGGGGCGCGTCAAAAGTGCCTCAAGGGTTCGTCTGATCGCCAAAATAAGGGTCGCAATCGATTCCCGAGGCAGCAGCTAGATATTGACCCGAGGAATCGATTGCGACCCTTATTTTGGCGATCAGACGAACTCTTGAGGCACTTTTGACGCGCTTCTTCCTTTAAGGGCCGATTAAGGGGTAAGGGGTAAGTTGCACACATCTGGAACCCGAGGCTGCGGCTAGATATTTACCCGAGGAATCGATTGCGACCCTTATTTTGGCGATCAGACGAATCCTTGAGGCACTTTTGACGCGCCCCTTCCTTTAAAGGCCGATTAAGGGGTAAGGGGTAAGTTGCACACATCTGGAACCCGAGGCTGCGGCTAGATATTGACCCGAGGAATCGATTGCGACACTTATTTTGGCGATCAGACGAACCCTTGAGGCACTTTTAACGCGCCCCTTCCTTTAAGGGCCGATTAAGGGGTAAGGGGTAAGCTGCACACATCTGGAACCCGAGGCTGCGGCTAGATATTGACCCGGGGAATCGATTGCGACCCTTATTTTGGCGATCAGACGAACCCTTGAGGCACTTTTGACGCGCCCCTTCCTTTAAGGGCCGATTAAGGGGTAAGGGGTAAGTTGCACACATCTGGAACCCGAGGCTGCGGCTAGATATTGACCCGGGGAATCGATTGCGACCCTTACTTTGGCGATCAGACGAACCCTTGAGACACTTTTGACGCACCCTTCCTTTAAGGGCCGATTAAGGGGTAAGGGGTAAGTTGCACACATCTCGAACCCGAGGCTGCGGCTAGATATTGACCCGGGGAATCGATTGCGACCCTTATTTTGGCGATCAGACGAACCCTTAAGGCACTTTTGACGCGCCCCTTCCTTTAAGGGCCGATTAAGGGGTAAGGGGTAAGTTGCACACATCTGGAACCCGAGGCTGCGGCTAGATATTGACCCGGGGTATCAATTGCGACCCTTATTTTGGCGATCAGACGAACCCTTGAGGCACTTTTGACGCGCCCCTTCCTTTAAGGGCCGATTAAGGGGTAAGGGGTAAGTTGCACACATCTGGAACCCGAGGCTGCGGCTAGATATTGACCCGAGGAATCGATTGCGACCCTTATTTTGGCGATCAGACGAACCCTTGAGGCACTTTTGACGCGCCCCTTCCTTTAAGGGCCGATTAAGGGGTAAGGGGTAAGTTGAACACTTCTGGAACCCGAGGCTGCGGCTAGATATTGACCCGAGGAATCGATTGCGACCCTTATTTTGGCGATCAGACGAACCCTTGAGGCACTTTTGACGCGCCCCTTCCTTTAAAGGCCGATTAAGGGGTAAGGGGTAAGTTGCACACATCTGGAACCCGAGGCTGCGGCTAGATATTGACCCGGGGAATCGATTACGACCCTTATTTTGGCATTCAGATGAATCCTTGAGGCACTTTTGACGTGCCCCTTCCTTTAAGGGCCGATTAAGGGGTAAGGGGTAAGTTGCACACATCTGGAACCCAAGGCTGCGGCTAGATATTGACCCGGGGAATCTATTGCGACCCTTATTTTGGCGATCAGACGAACCTTTGAGGCACTTTTGACGCGCCCCTTCCTTTTAGGGCCGATTAAGGGGTAAGGGGTAAGTTGCACACATCTGGAACCCAAGGTTCCGGCTAGAGATTGACCCGAGGAATCGATTGCGACCCTTATTTTGGCGATCAGACGAAGCCTTGAGGCACTTTTGACGCGCCCCTTCGTTTTAGGGCCGATTAAGGGGTAAGGGGTAAGTTGCACACATCTGGAACCTGACGCTGCGGCTAGATATTGACCCGAGGAATCGATTGCGACCCTTATTTTGGCGATCAGACGAACCCTTGAGGAACTTTTGACGCGCCCCTTTCTTTAAGGGCCGATTAAGGGGTAAGGGGTAAGTTGCACACATCTGGAACCCGAGGCTTCGGCTAGATATTGACCCGAGGAATTGATTGCGACCCTTATTTTGGCGATCAGACGAACCCTTGAGGCACTTTTAACTCGCCCCTTCCTTTAAGGGCCGATTAAGGGGTAAGGGGTAAGTTGCACACATCTGGAACCCGAGGCTGCGGCTAGATATTGACCCGAGGAATCGATTGCGACATTTATTTTGGCGATCAGACGAACCCTTGAGGGACTTTTGACGCGCCCCTTCCTTTAAGGGCCGATTAAGGGGTAAGGGGTAAGTTGCACATATCTGGAACCCGAGGCTGCGGCTAGATATTGACCCGAGAAATCGATTGCGACCCTTATTTTGGCGATCAGACGAACCCTTGAGGCACTTTTGACGCGCCCCTTCCTTTAAGGGCCGATTAAGGGGTAAGGGGTAAGAGCTAGGGCCAAATAAAGGTCATATTCTTGCTCCCCGTCCCCCAATTGACCTAACATGAGTTTTTTAAGCGATTCTGAATCCGACGCTGTATTCGTTGCTGTTGCTGACGCTAACTTCACGGACATCCCGCATAGGGGGGGGGGGGGGGGGTCGAACGGACCTCCTCGGTATTTCGCGAATAACTCGCTTAAAAAGCGGCTGATTGCGACAAAACTTTAAGTACTCTCGCCTCGCTTTATTCAACTTTACACCTACCATGAAAATTGCATGACCCTGACAAATGACCTTCGACCTATGACCTACTTTTCGAGACCTTGTCTGACCCTAAAATTTCATCGGATCTGCATCGATCTCAGGGGGCGCCCGGTCGAAGGTTGGGGGTCAAGCTGCCCCGCCCCCCCCCCCGTGGCTCCGCAAAAACATGCGCTCCGCTAATGACTGTAAATGGACGATATTTCATGAATACCTAGATGACCTCGAATAATAGGTATAGGCACAGATAACAGTAGTACTACTGTTATCTGTGGTATAGGTAATTCGTTATTCGTAAACTATCAAGTAAAAGTATAGAAACACACTAACAAACGTTCCGGTTCATGAACAGCAATAGGATATAAAAACTGTGCACACACTGAATTTTAAATATACCTGCAATGTAATGATAACACAATAATGTAACAATTTAATAATGTAATAATATAATAATGTAATACAATGTAGTAATGTAATAATGTAATACAATGTAATGTAATAGTTGGTAAGACATTGTGTTAGTACAAGGTGAGTAGTTTGTCACCTACCTGTCACTGTTTAGTGATTGAACGAAGTGTTTGTCACAATTGGCGAGGTCCCCTGATGAGGAAGAAAATAAAAGTCAGCTGTTAATATAACTTGTAATTCGTCACCTTGGTGATGGTGGCTGCGTAGTGCGTATGTTGCTCAGAGCAAGAGGCTGAGGCCACCGTGATCTGTTTTTGTTTGTCCCGAAAGCATTGGTACTATGTGTGTTTGATATTCGGGTAAAATCAAGACCGGTAAGATGTATTTACATCATAAATTGTATAATGTATTATGTTTACTACAGTCCAGCGCAGAAGTCATATGCGTTTTCAGTTCAAGTTGTGGTTATGTATTGTTTCTATATCTTAGGATTTTGATTTAGGAACGATTTGCCAGATTATAATTGAACTTGGAATGTAGCTTATAGGTGCCTATGTATCGTCATACCTGCAGCTGCAAGTTTATCTTTTTTAGGTGTTTTGTCTGGCTTGATAGTTGCTTGTATGCACTTGTAAAGTTGATGAATGTTGCGTTGTTTGCTCAACGAGTGCAATTCAAATTGCGAGATCATTAACGTTGTCGAATTTCTAACCTTGCACAAGCCCCTAATCAATGTCCTCCTCCTCTTGGGCCTACCATGTATGTCTAATCATCTTTTAATTCAATATCGTAAAGTCGGTCGCGACCCGCGAAGCTCAGGGCCTGTTCCAGCGCCTCCAGTAGAAATTCTTGACTGGAGGCTCTACCAGAGGTTTCACTGGAGGCGCTGGAACGCAATCTGGAGATTTCTGGAGATTGGCATCACAGATACCAAAAGAAGGTCGATTGTTCTCTCTTGAAATGCAAAATTTGTTTTCAGTTTTATTAAGAAAGATAAACAAAATTATAGCAATGTAATTTTCTTTACATTCAAGTTGTAAAATAATCAGTCGAAAGTCCTTTGTTTACATTCGTGATTGTCACATGTGCGCCATAATTGTAGACCAGAGCCTCCAGAGAAATTTGGACCTCCCAACTCTCTGGAGGCTACTGGAGGTTTCTGGAGCTTTGGCGAGAGCTTTCTGGAGCTTTCTGGAGGCGCTGGAACGCTCTCTGGAGGATTCTAGAGCTTTCTGGAGCTTTCTGGAGGTTTCTGGAGGCGCTGGAACAGACCCTCAGTTCGTCGAGCGTTGGACTCCCGGCGCGGTTGAGTCGCGAGACTCACGGGAGCCTGAGCTCGAGTCGCTCCCGTTTCCGGCCTACGAGTATATACGACCTTGGCCTGGGCACTCGTGTGAAACTTCTTAGTCCCTGACACGGATGGTCTGCGATTTTGGGAGCAGAGCAGCTGCAGCCATTTGAAGTCAGCTGGGTGGGAGGCTTTAGGAGGCTTTTGGGAGCTGAGTATCTGTTTGATGGGCACGTTTAACTTTGGTATCTAATTCTCATTTATCCCGTTACCCGGAATAGCCCGATCCGGGGGATATGAGTCCATGCGCAATAAGCTCTGATAAGCATGGACCCCAGCTCTGTCAATCTGTCCATGTAAACATTCGAGCTTCATTTATAGGAAATGTGCTGTAAAAAATTGCAAATATTCGCAGCCCAACCAGTTCAAGATGTAAAGTATTGTATGTATGTCTTCTACAGGATCGCTTTGGAAAACTACTGGGCCTCATTGTTTACCGGATAAAGCACTGCTGAAGTTTAAACACGCCACTAGGAAATGGAGCCCTTCACCTCGGAGACGGACTACCTCACTGAGCTGGACCCGCGATCCTCTGAGCTGGACCCGTCCTCCGCTGGGATGAGCCCTCGCGGCGCCGCCGAGCGGGCGCTGTTTTCGCCGGCACTGGGTTTCTCGGGTCGCGACTGGTTTGCCGAATTACACCGGCGCCGCCAGTGCTGGGTGAGCTCGCTGCTGCTGGACGTGCCGCCGCTGCCGCCGACGTCCGGGCCGCTGAGACGCCCTGCGCAGCCCGACAGGTGAGCGCCGACCGCCGATCGTGTGCTCCAGTGCTTTATTGTGTTTATTTCCGATTTTTCTGCACGTTGCGTCGTGTGTGTCTGAAGGATGGAGGTGGTCTCTGGGCGACTGTGATCCCGATGTGTCTCTGCTGTCTATTTGCGCGTTGAGTCGCGGTGGCCTCAGGCCTCAGGTCACAGCTATCATCCTAGCATGTTTGTGTGTGCTGTCTGTGTGTGTCTGTGTGTATTATGTATGTAAATACTTAGTCTCAGTCTACCTCGGTTTCCTCAGTCTTCCATGATATGTGCCTCTGCGCGCAGGAAGCCGTGGCTGAGCTGTGTCAGGCCCGGTGACAGCCTGTCGGCCGAGCTGCGCCGCCTGCGGATGGAGTGTCACGTGGAGCCGGCGGCTGGCGGCGCTGCTACGGCTGCAGACGTGGACCGGGCCGTACTGAGACTGGAGTCGGCGCCAAAACGGTAAGAACGCCGCCCGCTGCCGGCCCGGCCTGTATATATGTTACAGGGAGTATGCGATTTCAGTTAGTTTGCAACGACCCTAGGGTGGTTGTAACCTCCCTGAACGATCAGTTTGTTTGCAACGACCCTAGGGACGTTACAAAATAACTGCTCGTTCCGGGACGTTGTAACGAAACTAGGGTCGTTGCAACCTCCCTAGTTAGTATGCAACGAACCTAGGGTTGTTACAAAATAACTAGGGAGTTTAAGAATTCATCGAGTCTCGTTTCACAGAAGAGCCGTCAACAATCTTGACCAATGAAAATCTTGTTCAATCTAATCTAGTTCAGTCTAAAAGAAAAAGAGAACAACTACATTCAGCTTAGGAGTATTTCACGACGGCCATCTAGTGCACATTTTGTGCAGATTAGGTGCACAGTTGGTGCAGTTTTGTGCAAATTAGATGGACATTCGCCAGGAAGCCCTTCGTAAAAACGGCCATTTTCCGCTCGTTTCCAGTCTTTTTGTGATTATAAACGTTCAAACATGTGAAATGATGGTGGTCCCATGCATTTTGGTGGGTGTCAAGGTCACGTGAAGGTCAGGTCAATGTCATTGACCTTTGATGACCTTAGTTCACTTTTTCTGGGTTCATATATTTTTAGGCTAGTTTTTGGAGCTGATTTCGAATTTAGCACCCATTAGAGCATTAAAGAAGTAATTTTGGCGCCTTCGTACCATGTCACGAAGCTGCCAGTGATGATTGACACCTACTATGGACAGCTAGCAAGACACCTACTGGTTGACCTGACCTGACCTGACCCGACCTGGCCTAAAAACATCAAGACATCATCGGTGATCAAAGCTAATATGAAATTCGTGATCAGCGCCCCGAAAAAAAAAACTCGTAACAACCTATCTCTCCAAAGTTTTAACAGGTCCCGATTTTCCCGACTTTTGAGTCACTGACCTGACCTGGAAGGTCAACCCATAACCTATCCCCGCCCTGTGCGTTTGCGGCTAGCAAACACCAATAAGGGCGAGAGTTAACACCGCAGGACCTGGTTTTCTACATACGCGCCGGCCGAGGGGAGGGTTGGTACGACCCTCTCGTCGTTTTTCACCCCTGATGGAGTTAGAGCGTCGCGGAAAAAAAAAACGAGCGTGTGTGCCGTTAGGAGACACAGCAACTAGTACCCGAGTTTAAGGTCTCAGGTCAACCGGTGACCGTCAGGTCAAGTGATCCAAGACACGGGTTCGGTTTTTGATTAATAACTTCTTAAAAAACAGTCGCTGAGCGCGATTTTAACATCAACGTGCTCGCCTTGCTTACGCACATCGAATGGTATACTTTTTGTTCGGGTGAGGTCAACTTGAGATATTGACCTCGGGTCAAGGTCAGGTCAAAGACCCCTAGGTCGCGAAATTGGTCAAAGGAGGTCATGTTGCATATTATTCGATTCGGCAGGTCTTCCTGTGTCCATCGGTGGCTTAACCGTCTCGCTAGCTCAGTTTGATCTGGAGTTATTGACGAAAAGCTCGTATGACCCTAGTGACGTCATAAATGACGTCATGCAACGTCAACAATGCAAAATTGAAGCATCTAACCTTGCAAGGAGTGCATTAATCACGATCCGTGTGCTTGAGATAGTTTGAGATCGTTCCCGGCGCCAGAATAGCAGTTTTCATTTTTCTCAATGGACTTTTAGTGGTGAGGTCACGTGACCGACCTGACCTCATGTGATCTTTAGGAAAAATCCTAGAGGTACAATGTGAGACTTCTAGAAGATGCACGTACTGTAAGCTTCATCACCCTGTAAAAACTCCTCTGGGACTGAGGGCGTTGCGAAGTTGCGGCATCTGAGGACCGTCCACTTATGACGTCATAGGTCAGTAACCTGACCTGACCTGAAAATCTGGTTGATATCACGAGATCTGGCTTGAATCAAAGGTCAGGTATGCGTAGTTTCAGCTCTCTGTTGCTGGCGTGTTCGGAGCTATCGCGAAAAAAACTTGGGGGGGGGGGGGCGAGGATAAAGCCAGGCTGGGTTGGGTAAGTTTGGGTCAAGTAGAAGCGTCCCACCCGCACAACCTGTTTATATTAGCAGGTGTACCTAAACCACCAGCGACAGCTTCGGAGCAAGTTGCATTGGCGTTACAACTATAACTACGTACTTCTCAAATGTCTCAACGAATGCTGGATTCAAAATAAGCTAAAAAAAATCCCTTAAAATCGTAAAATTTGAAACAGTCACCCGAAGTCACTAAACGTCAATGACCTTGACCTGGCCGACAACTGACAATTCAACTTGAAACCCATCATGATGCATGGGACAACCTGTGGTGGATTGAAACACAATGAATAAAAAATGTTGGTATTCAGAGCAAAACACAAACTTTCAAACCAAGAACTAAACCAAATTCCAAGCCATATCTAGGGCTGGAGACTCTCAAGACCAACAAAAAACAGCCGACCCAAACTTTCAGTCGGCACACATTTTCCTACATCGTGCGCGCGCGGTTCATAATGAGCCACCGCCGCACTTTTAGCAGTTGACAATAAATTATTTACTTTATAACATTACTTACAACATTTTCCTGCTAGCACACCTCACCCTGTCTTTCAACACATCAAATCATATATCACACCTGTGATTCACGAGCGACACGACTTCGGAGCCTCTCTGATCGCCGCAAAACGGTCTCGGGGCGGTCTCGACCTGTGACCGGGGCGGTCTCGGACTGTGGCGTCACTTCTGGTTGTCTGACGGGGAGGGACACCAGCATGGGTCCTTTCTCGCTTGAGTCACTGTCATCCTCAGCTTCATGGTCCTGTTGGAGCCGATGTCGCAGCTCTCGGACGTGGCGGGGCACTCCGTTCACCTCCACGGCCTGTTCCGAGAGCGTGTGTGTCACCACGCCCTGCTCATACTGTGTGTGACAGCGCGCGCCGGGTGGCCTCACCCAGACAGCATCTCCGGGCTCGTACGCTTCTTTTGGCGGGCGGTACCCGCCAGCCGGTTCCTGCTGCGCTGAAGGGTCGGAGTGTGGCAGACTCGTCCTCCAGTTGTAGCGATACAGCTGGTTCGCTGGCGTCGAGTTGTCCGTCTTGTTGTCTTTCGGGGTCATGTTGTAAATGTACACAGCTTCTGAGATATCACATCCCTTCCTTGCTGCTATGGTCTTGACGGTGCGGTGGACGCGTTCGATGACACCGTTTCCGGACGGGACGTAGGCACAGCGGAACGTCAGTCGCACGCCCCACTCTGCAGCAAATGCACCAAAACGCCTGCTTCGAAACACTGGGTCGTTATCCAGTAGGATTTCATCCGGCGCTCCTCTCTCCAACAGGATGGAGCGTAGCTCGGCCACCAGAACTGAACTTGTTTTCAGTCTCAGTGGACGCCAAATGGTGAATCGACTTGGGCCGCAGTCGATGATGGTGAGGAATAATCTGCCGCGGTACTCTGTGACGTCGATCCCAAGTCTTGTCCAGACCTGCTTGACATTGAGTTCGCCTTTCTTCCACTTGACAGGGGCAGGTTCGATCGACTGGCAGACTTGACAGCTCGTCACGACGTTCCTGACACAGGTCTTTGTGACCGTGGGCATGACACGTTTAGCGAAGAAGTGCGTTCTTCTGATTCCGGGATGGCCGGCATCAGCATGAATCTGAGCGACGCGGTCCTGTTCACACTGCACGGCTGTTGCCACGGCTGCGACACCAGTCACACCGGGCTCGTTCGCAGAGATACCGTCCTCTTCCCGCTGTACAGCAGCTTCAGCGATCTGACAGGAATCACTCCTCGCTGTCGTTCCAATCGCGGCACACAGGGCTCTGTGCTTGTCATTCCCTGCTTCTGGATCTCTGGTTTCAGTGGCGCCTCGCGGAGTACCTGGCGCTTTGGTCTTCCCTTCTGGACTCAGCCATTTGCGTGGCACCCTTGTGAGATTGTCGGAACGATTGGCAGCAGAGGTCACACTTCGCACAGACATGTCCAGTCCGTACTCCTCACCCAGCATCTGCAGAGTTGAGAGACGTCTTCGGATGAGCATTTCAGACGCGGCTTTCGTCTTTAGCCTCATCTTTCCGCTCAATGAGTTTGATATCCAGTGATATACGGTGCGGGAGTCTGTCATTAGGACAACCTTCTTGGCTCCCCATGATATCGCCAGATTTACTCCTTTGATAGCTGCGTCCAGTTCTGCGACGTTTATGTGCGTCCCATCGTCTTTCCTCAGCCAGCAGCCGTCCTCTATCAGTTCGCCGTCTGCTTCCAGTGCTACCCCGAGGGCCAACGAGCTTGCATCCGTCCAGACTGTGACATCTCTTCCAGACACGTCCCATCTGCCCTTCGCTGGGTCATCTGCTGCCACCTTCTCCAACAGGTCCTGAACCATGTTCTTCACCTCACTGTCTTCGATGGGATCGTCCCACCTCTCGGATAGCGCGCTCGCGCGTCGTTTCAGGTACGAGGTAGCTGGTCGGAGCCAGCCACATACGGGCAGATTCCCTGTGAGACGTCCGCAGAATGAAAATATCTTTCGCTTTGTCAGTGGCAGCTCGATCCCCGTGACTTCATTATCACGTCTCCATCTGAGTCCGTCTGTTCCCGCTGATACTCTCAGCCCCAGAGCTCTGCCTCCGTCCTTGAGTTTTACTGCCGGTTTGCACTCCAGACCGAAGCGCTTCAGGTGCTCGGCCACCTTCTCAGCCGGCAGCACGGCCTCGTCAACCAGCACGTCGTCAATGTACGTCGACACTGCCCGCTGCACGTCCGAGTCCTGGCTGACGACCAGATCCAGCACGGATTTCATGACGCAGGGCGATACGCTGAGGCCAAAGCCCATCCTCGTCAGGCAGTATCGCACGCCACCGACGATAACCGTTTGGTACGGCCACATCTCCTTTTCCACGTGAATTTGCAGATAGGCCTTGTTGAGGTCCAAAAGCGCCACGTCTCTCCCCAGCTTGCGCCACTCTCTCAACTTTTCATTGCACACGTCCGCATCTGCCGTGAAAGTGTCCACGTGGGTGTCATTTCTCGAAAGTCCATCACCGGTCTGACTTTCTGTTTGTTCAGTTGCACGACAGCCATCATGGGGATCAATCCCTTTGGCGGACCCAGCTCACTTTCATCGTACGGTACAAGCCATCCATTTTTTATCCAAAGGGCCACTTCCTGTTCGTATGCCGCCTTGGCTTCAGCTGAGATGCGATACTGAGCCACACAGTTTTGTAGCACTCCAGGTGCTTTGCCATCAGACCACTTCCAGGACACGATCCAACATCTTTGGCGCTCATCAAACCAAGCCCGGAAATCAGCTTTCTCCACGGACAGCTGTGGCTTCACATCTACGCCAGTCGTCGAGTCAGGAGCCTCTTCACTGAGTTCAGTGCGCGGCCTTTTCTCGCTGCGACAGAGTTCTTCAGTCGGAGACTGGGCCGAGGCGCCTTGGCGTGACCTTGCAGCCGCACCCGATGTCGACACACTCTGTTCTCGGAGTCCAGCGCAGGTGTTCTTCTCGCTACAGAAGAGTACCTCGGTTGGAGACCGGACGGAGACACCACCAAGCGCCTGCACACCGTCCATTCCAAGCACCATGTGGAATCCCAGAGGCCTGTCTTCCGCTACCAGTGCGCTTATTGTCACAACCTTCAGCCCCGGAATGAGCACACTGACGTCCGCGACTCCGATGCACAACAGATTGTGGCCGCTTGCAGTGGCAACGTTCACAAGTTGCCGTTCCCATGATTGGCAGACAGACAGATGAATGATACTGCGGGTGCATCCTGTGTCAATAAGAACATTGCACTGTTTTCCGCAAACTTCCAGTGATCGCACTGGCAGCGCGCCCATCCACTTCAATTCCGAGCAGAGGCCGGCGCTGAGTCCTCTCCTCGCAGCTCGTTTCCCGAGCGAGGCTGGCTCGGGCACTCAGCGGCGATATGACCCCATCCGGAGCATCGGTAGCACTGGATACTCTGTCTTCCGCGGCCCGTGTTCCTTGAAGACACGGTTGACCTGTTATTCTGAGAGCGGTTGGACACCACCCTACTCGAGGGGTTGAGACCTCGCATCGCAGAGACGCCCTGCGAACGGGGAGTCTGTCCGAGGAAAGCAGATGCGCTTGGTACTGTCTGCTCTTCACAGAGAATTGCTCTCGCGCGTGCCACTATCTCTGTCAATGACAGCGATTCCATGCGAGCGCCGGCGCGCATGATCTGCCTTACCGCATCCGGTAAGCCCGCCATAAGAGCACACGCTAGCCCTTCTTCACTGAGACCTCCGAACAGTGTTGACAGCTGCTTGAGTTCTGCTAGATACACATCTACCGACTCTCCATCTCTCAACTTTCTGTCAACGAACTTCTCGTATGCCATGAATTTGTCCGCTGCGAACGCACGCTTCAGCACAGTTTTCACCTTCGTCACGTCCTTCCTTTCTTCTACAGAGAGCTGCTGGTATACTGCAGACGCACCACCTTTCAGTCTCAGAGGGATGACAATCAGTTCCTCAGCCGGCGGGGTCTGTAGATTACAGACCATCTCGACTTTGGTCAGCCAATCTACGACATCACCTGACCCGTCAAATTCCGGTATTAACCTGATGTCGAAGCTAGGTGAAGCCATTATTGCTCACTGTGCTATTCGCTTGATATTTGAATTAAATGATAAATTACGAATAAGGCCGAAATAGCTTGTGGTGGATTGAAACACAATGAATAAAAAATGTTTGGTATTCAGAGCAAAACACAAACTTTCAAACCAAGAACTAAACCAAATTCCAAGCCATATCTAGGGCTGGAGACTCTCAAGACCAACAAAAAACAGCCGACCCAAACTTTCAGTCGGCACACATTTTCCTACATCGTGCGCGCGCGGTTCATAATGAGCCACCGCCGCACTTTTAGCAGTTGACAATAAATTATTTACTTATATAACATTACTTACAACATTTTCCTGCTAGCACACAACCATCAGTTCACATGTTGGCACGTTTATATGTAATCACAATAGAAGTCCGGAAACGCAATTTTATGTGCGCTAACATATATGGCAAATAATTTCGGTCTGCCATGGTCTCAGTAATCAGATCAAAGATCAAATGCCATTGGTTTCAGGATCATGAACTGTATAGGGAATGTGTAACCAGTAACGTAGATAAGTTCGAGGACACTCAAAGTTTCGTCACGATCGGCCGCTTTTAGCGCGAGATAATCGCGAAATAAAACGAGGCGTTTTATCCGACCCGCACCCCTAAAAGTGTGAGGGATAACCCGCAAACGGATAGCGACGGATATCCATCACACCTACCCCAGTAACTATATTTTCTACATGTAAGCATATGTTGGCGATATAATGCAGCCAAAATTATCACAGTTACGTGCTTTGTCCCGGGCACCACATATACTCCTTGGCTGAATGTTCAAATTTTGTTCTCCTTTTCTTTTATACTGAACTATGTAGTTTGAACAAGATTTTCATTGGTCAAGATTGTTGACGGCCCTCCTGTGAAACAAGACTCGATGAATTCTTAAACTCCCTAGTTATTTTGTAACAACCCTAGGTTCGTTGCATACTAACTAGGGAGGTTGCAACGACCCTAGTTTCGTTACAACGTCCCGGAACGAGCAGTTATTTTGTAACGTCCCTAGGGTCGTTGCAAACAAACTGATCGTTCAGGGAGGTTACAACCACCCTAGGGTCGTTGCAAACTAACTGAAATCGCATACTCCCTGTAACATATACAGAACTCCGGTACTGGGTTTCTTTGGCCTGTGTAAGTAATGAAATATTATGTAAGTGTCATATTTTAATCACATTCTATTCTTGTGGCTGGGGCAATGTTCCTCATTCGCCAAGATTTACGAACCAATGCCTACATTGTTACGAACCGAAAATAAATTTACCCCTAGTAAATTGTGGGTAACGCGAAGGCGGCTGTGCGTTCTAAGCGCTTTACTACTTGTGCTGCCAGTGTGTGGGCACACTTGGGGTGGTCCAAGACTGGTTGTCATAGTGTGTGTAGTGGTGGTGGGGGACGGGAGGGGGATGGAGGGAGGGGATTGAAGGTGTATGCGTGCGTGTGCCCAATGTATCCAGCGATTACCCGGGCTACCTTTGTGACTGACGCCCAAGGGAGTCAAGAACTGGGGTCGGAAGATGGGGGAGGGGAATGGTGCGCCATGTCACGCCCATCACACTTTTCATACGTACACGTCACATTCGTGTCAACTCTCGGACATAGTGGAAACGCCACGAAATTGCTGGCTACTCCACCGCCTGTGACGACCGTGGATTTGCGAGCCTTGCAAACAATTGTTGCGAGTTATGTGTAATGTGTATAACCCATGTATTCGCCACCTTTGTGTATAATGGTTTGCAACATTATGGTACTATTTTTCACGTGCCTAGTTTTACGACCCAACTGTAAAGGTTACCAACGACACTGCCATGCCTGAATGATGTTTACTATTCATCGTTTCGGTAACTTGCTTGTGCTAATTTCCGTGAAAAGATTTTACAAGACAGACGTGTACGAATTACCTTCGTCGTGTAAAAACCCGATGAAACTGCAGCAGTGCATGTGTATTTCCGTACGCGTTATTCGAAATACTAGCCAACACAGAGGCTACCGGCAGCTCCCCTCTGACCGTTATCTGTCGTCCACAGAGCGGAGCCGGTCCCTGGTGACGGCCGCGCCAGTCTGCCCGGTGACGAGCTGCTGTCAGAGCTGGAGCTGGAGCCGGACGGCGGCCTGCTGCCCAGCCGGCTGACGCTGCCCTGTCCGCTGCTGCCGCCGACCGACACCGGGCCGCCGCCGCTGCCGGCGCTGCCGCGCGCCGACCAGCTGCCCCTCAGGGACCTGCAGGTGCGTGTCGGGTCACTGCTGGGTCACCGCTGGGTCACTATTACGTGACCCCGCCCCGTGTCACCCCGCATGACCTCGCCTCGCCGCCGGGTTACCGCTGTGTGACTCAGCCCCGCCGCCCGGGTCCCCGCCCCGTGACCGCTCCCCCGCCCCGTCTCAGGAGACTGTCCCTAATGAACCATATGTTCAATGCAGTCAGCGAAAATCAAAACATCATCAGATCGCCGTCGCTGCTGAGCCGAGCGGTAGAATATGCTGCCCTCGGGAGCTTTAGAGCCATGCCTGCAGTGTTTTGGCCGTCGCCTTGAGCACGTTCAATATTCGGGACTCCTGGCTAGGTCGCTGGCTTGCAGGTTTCATGCACGCATGTGTAGTTATACATGCGATACATACACGCACCTGTACGTGTCGCTTGTAATTATTATTTTGCATACGATAATTGTTACCTAATGCCTTCATATCTCTGCACCATCTTTCCTATTAAAGTCAAGAAATGATGCACTGAGAAAATATTACGATAATATTAAACTTCACTTACGTACATCGTTTACATGTTGCACATGTTCATTTACGTATCCACCTTTTTATTGGTACTGGAAGTCGTAGGTAGTTATCGCAGATCGTTATGGTAACATCTACAATTTGTAGTTGATCTGATGTAGGCAACGAACAAGGAATTGATTCCGTGATTACTGTGAGCCACATTCTCGGTTTCGCTCTGTTTCAGGACCCGCTGCTGGACGAGAGTGGTGGCCTGTTGTCGGACTCAGAACTGGCTGGCTGGGAGAGCTCGCTGGTGCCGCCGCCAGCCGCGCCCTGGGCGCCGGTCGAGCTGCCGCAGCCCGAGCTGGCGCCGCTGCCGCTGCCGCAGCTCCTGACGCTGACCGAGCTGCGCGTACCCAGCGGCGCGCCCGAGCCGCCGGCCGGCCAGCTGACGCAGCCGGGAGGGCAGCGGGACCGGCTCAGGAGCCCACTCCACAGCGACACACTCCCTCTGCACGGCACGGTGTCCGGAGTGACGCCGATAAAACCTCTGCGGACCACCAGGCTGAGTCCACACCGAGCGGTGCTCACGCTTCGAAACAAGTTACAAAGTCGCTCATGTCGGTTGAGGTTTCTTCAGAAGTGGTGCTGAGTATTCATGAGAGGGCTTCCGCGCAGCATTGTGGTTCAGCGAAAATTCGTGAGGCCACCGCATGTCCCACTGAAACGGTGATTAACACTGCTGCGAATGCCCAATCTGCCGACATCTACAGGGTGTCCCAGAATTACCCGGACATTTATTTTCTGGCTAAAAGTACGATTGCGCTCGATTCTAATGATATACAAGCATCATACTTTTACAAGATATCCCTTAGCTATCGAGCTTGGGGACTGTGTGCTTTTGGTGACCGGTACCGACTCGAGTCAAGTATTATCCAGAGTCAAGTAAGAGTAGTCCTTTTCCGTTTTCAGCTTAAGCCACTAATAGGCAACCATGGTGAATCAACTCCCGTTTTCAACTTTGTAAACGGACTTTCGGCATGGTTTTTGCTGGAGAGCTTCAGCAGCTCATCTGCAACCAGTTAGGATTGAGCAAAGCGCAATTATATCAGCTAACGAAGCCAGAGAGAGCAAGAGATAAACCTGATTGACAAGCTTGGGCTCGGCCAAAAAGGGCCATGCACCAGTTGTCAAACGGGTGGGTGCTTGTCATGGACAACAAACGTCACTGATCTAGCTAAAAACTAGCTAAACGATAGATCAGGATTATCTAAAGAACATCAGTCTACTTTCCACCACTATCTTCGCAAAATTTTGGAATTTGAGGTCCCTCGCCTGAAAAATATGCGAAAACTACGGGAAAAGCAGCGAAAATCACTACAATTCATCCCAAAAATATAACATATACAACAAAAATTATATTGAAGCACACTTTGTGGTCTAACGAAGGTATTCTGTCATTTGAACCGCCCGAAAAAGGCGTGTGTGAACGTCAGATGGCTACAACGCCCCAACAGCAGAGACGGCCAGGCACCCGTCGAAAATCAAATTGTGAGACATTTTGAGCCACCGTGCACTCATTCGGCTTGATATGATGGCCCAACGACAGCCGTTAGCACAGAGTACTACTGCGGTAATATTCTACCAGTAAAAAAAAAACTGGATGCCGTAAACCAAATGGCCATGAACGGGTTTGTTTTGGAAACCAAATCTGTTGGAAGCCAAAGGTCCCGCCATGTTCAGACATGGAGCCTCTCCACTTCAGATGTAAAAAAACGCGGCAAAAGTGGTGTCGGCAGCAATTTTTGTTTTGGGGGATAATGCCTTATGACCTGGGAACACTCTGATGTTAAGTTTATCTTATATGATCGTATTATCCTCCAGCAACAGGTCAAAGAAAACCTTCACCCAGTTTCGGGAGAGCCGCGTAAAGCAACTGAGACCAGCAATGGCTGGCATTTTCAATCATTGTCGGCTGATCTTGTAACAAGCGTATCCATTGCGTGTGCTATTTCACAGCCACCCTAGTTGACTATATAGGACGATAAAAAGGAAAAAGCGCAATCATGTTTGCCTTATTTTATACGCTAATTAACAATGTCCGGGTAATTCTGGGACACCCTGTATGAGACGCCCGGTCGAAGCAGACCACTGGAGTCCAACCAGTCACAGTCCTCACCTATCGAGTCGGTCTGTCTGGAGCCGACTCCCGACAGGAACGGTCGCCGTCCTCCGGCGTCAGATGGTATACCTGTGGACGAGAAATGTCAGCGTGGCTTGGCCGCTGTCCTGCAGAGCGCCGCCTCCGTCGACCGACCCGAGGCGGCAGGAGAGTCTGACAGACCAACGAGCTCTGACCCGGCGGACCTGCACCAAGTAGTAAGGAAGGCTGACCGAACGCCCAGTTCTGACACGGTGCAGCCCCGTAGCGAAAAGTCCATTCAAAAGTTGGAAGAAAGAATGATATTCCCGAAGGCTCCCGAGGCATCGATCATGACAGATTATTCGCTGGCTGCGCGCTCCGACGTCTCTGGCGAAGTCGTGGACACCGAGACGGGCGGCTGCGGACAACTCTCGCCGGTTCCATCCCAGGGACGGCCACCGCCCGTGCAGTCGGCCAGTACAGACAGCTTCCATCGAGGGGACGTAGACCGCTCAGAGCTTGCCGAAGATCACACCATGCCGGCCGAGAGCGCTTCATGGGAGCAGCAGTCGCCTCTGACATCTGACCGGTGGCATAAGAAACGAGCTGAGCAGTGCCACTCTGCGATTTCTGCGACGGAGGATAGAAGCAATGACGGATCATCACATTCACGACCGCCCTCACCACCGAGCGGTGTGTCGGAAGCCCTCACGAGCGAGGCTGTGGTGCTTCATGAGAATGACAGTACCCGGGAGAGTTCGCGCTGCGACGTATCGCTGCTCGGTGGAGGGGACGCGAGGACCGGCCTATGGACGGTGAGGCGCCGTCCGTACATCGGCCGTGCTCCGCTGTGTCACAGGAGAATGGCAGCGGTGATACGGGAGTAGAGACGGCGCCAGGGGATCTTGAATGCTCGACCTCTGCCATATCCGTGACGGCGGAGACTACCCCGACCCCTCCGCGAGTGCTGAAGCCGGCAGTGGTGAAAGAGGAGGTCCCTTCACATCGGTCTCCGTCAGTTTCACACCACACCACCGGCCCGCGGAGTATCTTCAGCCCTTCCTGTCAACTGACACTGGACGGCGCTCTGGCGTCCCCGCCGTTGCCTCCATCGGGCTCTGAAGACCCTCTGGTGTCGACAGTTATGAGAACCACACCCGTGCAGGAGGACCAAGAGTGTGGATCAGGGGAAGTGCAAAAGGCCGTCGGGAGACATGGGTCAGTAACAGACCTACCGGAAGGAGGTGATATTTCAGACACGAAACGGGAGAGCGCTGCGCTGCTTTCTGTAACGGTTTTGTCTGAGCCTTTCTCGCCCCCCGCTGTGCCTAAAGAGTCTGAGCTGCCGCCGAGCCGAGAGCGGCTCTCTGAGGTCAGTCCGGACAGAGGTGAACCTCCAACCAAAATGTTTCATCTTAGTGGCGTACCGACAGCTAAGGTGACACACCTGAGCCACGAGACGACGGCCCAGGCACTACTCACGAGTTCCGAGCGACAAGTGGCACATATTTTGGGCTGCGAGCAAACAACCAGGGTGGTTCATCTGAGCCACGAGCAACCAGCCAAAGTGGCCCATCTGAATGGCGAGCCACCAGTGAAGGTGGCTCTTCAAAGTGACGAGCCACCATCGAAAGTGACCTATCTAAGCTACGAGACGACTGTCAAGGCGGCACACCCTAGCAGCGAGCTGCCAACCGCCCATCGCATTGTAGGCGACACGACAGGCTGCAGCGTCACCGCCGGAGCGCAACCATCGGCCACGGAGCCCGCGGCGTCCCAGCTGACGGCAGCCGACAGTTTCCTGGCGGCGCTCTCTGCGCGGGTGCAGAGCCGCGCGGAGCGCACCCCGCTGTCTGCCCGGCGCGGACTGCCGAGCGCGCTGCTGACGAGCCGTGCCGGCCGTCGGGTCCGTGGCCGGCCCCGCGTCGGCCCTGTGGCGCTGAGCCGCGCGCTGAGCCGCTGTGGGCTGCCGGAGCCACGGCGAGGGGCGGCTGCACGCACTCCGAGGGCCGCGGAGCCGCCGGGAGTGGGACAAGGCGCTGTCTGTGGGCTTACACAGACGCAGAGGTCATCAGACGACCACGTGGAGACGGCTGTGCCGCTGGACGGTGAGTGGAACACCGGTAGCAAAAGCCTTGTTTGCCCATAGTGAGCGCTCTTGTTTTTTTTTTTGTGGGTGCTTTGTTCGCACATCTATTCTTTCGTTGCTCATAAACATCGTCTTGCACATAAACAATTACTGAGCGTCCAACCGCGGGAATGGTTGAATTTATAGCCTAAAAGCGTATGCTTACCGCGATCATACACTGTCAGGCGTAATATCGTTATTTATTTGCTAGTATAGAAGTTTATTTGTTTCCATTTCCAGTCACGGCATTAAACGCAGGTCCGCACGGTTCACTAGAAGATTTGTGGGCGGCTTAAATGACAGCTTAAATGTGTGACGGCAATGAGCACGTGTTGGTCACCATTGACTTCCAAGTGCGTCGTTATGAACAAACCTGTCATTGATCGCTTACCCTGCACTCGGCTTTGTGCGCCCCAATGAACACGTGCCGTTAGGTGATGGGTGGGCGAGTAATCGGACTGCCAACGCCCCATTACGTACACGTCATGCCTGTCAACGTGTGAAATGGCTGCCAAATGGTCTACCGGTGGTTCTGTCTTCGTAGCGCAATCACCGTGCCATTTGATTGTTGACGACCATGAGCTGACTTTTCACTGCTTTTGGACCTGTCAGGTGATTTGACCTGACCTGTCGGAGATGATTTTCTCAAACTGCTTTGGATACCTGAGATGACCTGTGTGGGGAATTTGTTAGACCTGACCTGTCTTAGGTCTGGTGATTTGATCTTACCTTCTAGTGGTCCGACCTATGTGGGGAGCGGGGCGAGATGTCACGCTGTCTGCCCCCCCCCCCCCACAGAGCTGACGCTGCGCTGCCTGGCCTGTCTGGTGAGGTGGTATCACGCTGTTTGCCCCCCCCCCTCCAGAGGTGACGCTGCGCTGCCTGGCCTGTCTGGTGGAGCGGGGCGACGAGCTGCTGCAGCCTCTCCGGCTGGACGTGCCGTTCGCGCTGCTGGAGCCCGACAACAGCCGTCGCCTTCTGAAGGAGATGTGCAGCCAGGTCAACGAGTCGCTCAGCTCATTGGGTACGTGTGTCTCCGCTGCCACGGCGGAGTCGCCGGGCGCGGCAGGACGGCAAGGACCGGACGGGACACTGAAGGCGTGATTAGCGGTCTGAAGCTGCACCCACTCACTAGCTGGGGTCCTGGGGTCAATGGCTCGAGTTGGTAATCGTACGACAAAGCACGCATGCCTACTAATGGACGATAAGTATTTGGTCTGAGAACGCATTGGCAATTCAGAGTTAAAGCTAATATTTTAAGCACTCAGCGCTTTAGCAGACAATACGATTGCAGATGCAGTTACGGTAAAAATCACTTTACAATTTTCAGAAACTTTTCGGAATTTTCTTATTTTAGATTTTCATGCTTCAAAAATTTTCCGAAATTTCTAGTTGCCTTTTAAATGTGTATGTTATGCGTCAGTCCGTGCAGTAGCGGCGGAACACCTTCAATGGGGGGGGGGGGGCACTGCCGACTTTTAGTCCCATTCTTTATGCAACGCCCATAGGGCTAATGTTGAAATGCCAAAATCAATGGGGGGCACGGTGCCCCGGTGCCCTCCCCGTTCCGCCGCCTATGTCCGTGGCCAAATTGATGTCATCTTCGCTGACAGGGTTTGTTGACTCAAATGTGTGTTCCTTGCTGAGCGTCAGGGTCTGTTGCGCCAGTACCGACCACTGACAGGGGTAGGTGACTCGCCTGTCTGTCCACTGCGGGAGCGTCAGGGCCTGTACTGATACACGCTGTGTCTGTGGTTCCTTGCAGAGCGCCAGGGCCTGCTGCGCCAGTACCGACACACGCTCGCCGTTCACGGCCTGGCCAAGGCCCGCGACATGACCGCCCACCTCTCCGCCGTGTGCGGTCTCCGGCAGCTGCGCATCTTCAGCCGCACGCACGCCGACATACTGCAGGGTGAGTAAACCTCACTGCATGGTTCTGAGCTGTGTATTCACTATTCAGGCTGAGTAACTCAGCCCAACACTGCAGGGTGAGTAAACCACACTGCATGGTAATGAGCTGGGTATTCACTATTTCCTTATACTACAGGGTGAGGATGTTTTACGGAATGCTAGTGGCTGTATGTTGTGGAGGTGATAATAGTTTGCCAAATGACAATCATGAGCTGAGTAGTGAGTAATGAGCCGTTAAGTGCATGATGCATGACGAGGATAGTAAGTATTGCGATGTCATACCGAAGGAAGAGTGTGCCCTGTAGTGTATCGGGACGTTTTTCTACAGGGGTTGATAATGTATTGCAATGTGGAAGTAATGTATTGGGTGGAAGTAATGTATTGCACATTGGTATGCTGACTGCCGCCGGGCAGGTTTGGGGTATTTGCTGCGTAAGGATAGGCGTCTTACATATAATGCTGGGTGGATGGAGGGGGGGGGGGATGCTGACGGCGGGTGCCGGGTGGTGTACGTACTGCGGATTGAAGGTGGTTGGTTAGTGGTTACTACAGAGTGAGGGATTACCGCATATACTGCTGGGTCGGTGTGGGGGGGGGGGGTGCTGACGGCAGGTGGTGTACGTATGTACTGCGGAATGAAGGTGAATACTGCAGGGCTAGCTGTGAGGGATTACCACGAGGTGGTGGTGATATTTACCTACCTAACATTCCGGGGGCTGCATACAATGTATGTCATCAGGCCCACTAAATTCCTGGGCTTGGTGGGTGCGGCACGGCCGAGCGGTGTAATAGCGCCTACCTGATGTGACATGACACCTGACCTTCATGACTGCGCGCCCCCTAACATGTGAGCCGGGGCCGTTGTACTTAAGTAACCGGGGCATATCGTTCATCGTCGATGGTTGGTAAAATTCCTATTTTCGAAAAATACCAATGAATGGCGTGTTTTGAAGATTGGTGAGCCATACATCCCCGCCACTGGAAACTATATAGCTTGGATTGGGCAGACACAGGGCGCAATCTCGATATGCAAGCTTTCTCGAACCATCGGCAAACTACAGAGCTTGGTAGGTATATTCGATGCATTGCAATGCAGTGCGCTACGTCACATAAGCTGCACAATTGCAGCTTTTAGAGTAAGCCCAGGCGATACTTCGCTTTGTGCGCTATGCGCTTTTGCAGGATCACATACCCGCCTACTCAGTACGCATAATGTAGCCATATTAGATGCAGTGTTGTTAACGTTTATTATTTTATCTCACTTTGTTTAATGCTATTCTGTTTGATAAGCGAATAATGGGGTTTTAGTTTTAACCCTCGCCCGCACATGGGGGGGGGGGGTGGTTGCCACCCCCCCAGGTAGTCTTTCGACTCTGCACTCAACATTTTTAGAGCTAGAAGGCTGATTTTTCGTATAGCTGCTCCTCTATCCTTTCTTGATGTCCACTGAAAATTTCAAGTTTCTGTGATTTTTGGTTTCGGAGATATGACCTTGTTTTTCAGGTCATGTCATGACCCAAATGGCCAATTCTCAACATCTTGCGTTTGCCATGGGCCTTATGAGCTTTTGACACCCTGATTTCGGCCTTTTTTGCCAGTCTTACCTCCCACCTATCATGGAACATGTTGTTCGACGATGTACAGGGGTCAAGGTCAGGGTCAAGGTCAACCTAGGTCATCTAAGATAATTGCGTTTTAGGCAAGCTGAATTTACTTTTTTTGAAGTTTTTTGACTGCATTTTTGGTAAAAGCTTCTCAGATCATGATTTCATGTAATATGGACCCAAAAACAATCGGTGCACACATCAGTATACACACAGACACACACAGACATACAAACACATGTAATTGACCTTGACCTAACTTGACCTGAAATGACCTCAGCAGCAAAATTCTGGTCGGGCAGTGTGACAAAGAGGTTCTAGCTGGCTTGGCACCAGAAAACAGCATCGTCATCGGTATTTGATAAGCAGCACACTTGATATCCAACGGTGACCCAAAACAGCAACATTTTTTAGTTTGACCTGATCTGGAAGGTCAATGACTGACCTGAGAAGTTAAAACTGGGTATCATTGGATTCGTCTCTTCCCAAAGAATCTTTTTGGTCTTTACTGCTAAGCTCTATCTCCAACAGGAACGAAATGGCGCGGGGGGGGTGGCAACCACACCCCCCCCCCCCATGTGCGTTCTAGGATGGGAAAATGGCATGTGCGGGCGAGGGTTAAGACACAGCCAATATTTTTTTTTTCGCTGTGCCAATGCCTCAGTTACCTCAGTTTCACTCGGTTACCGTTGCGTTTACGGCAGTGTCACGGTTGCAGTGTTTGCCGTTTTCGTGCTCGGTATGCGTGACTTCCAACCATTGTTTCAATAGCGCTCGTATTTCCACCCCTAATATGAAAATTTATGGTGAATTGATTTTCCAGCAAGGCTCAGCTCAAACGAAATAAAATCTGTTTTTCAATGTTATACTTTGCTCTCCTCCTAAGAACTCGCGGTTTTAAGGATGCATATCCCAAACAATATATTGAAATAGCTGCCTGGATATATCCTTGCTCGGTCAGTGTCTGACTCCCCGCTGTACTATGGTCCCACGGGCTGTCTAGACTCAGAGTCTCGTTACTCCGTCTGCGTGGGACCTCTAACCGCCTGTGTGTGGTCCCTCAGACTGTCTCCAGATGTCTCGCTGCCTGATCAGTGTCCGACTTCCCGCCGTATGCTGTGGCCGCGCAGGCTGTCTGGACACTGGAATGTCTCGTTACTCGGTCAGTGTCCGACTCCACCTGTGTGCTGTGGCTGTCACTGTGTGACTGTGGTCTGGCAGGCTGCCTGGACGCGGTGATTGGTGACCTGGAGTCGACACTGGCCGGCCGCTCCGCCCGCCACCCGCGCGTCGCCGCGTTACTGGCCCTGCTGACTGAGCTGCACGTGGACTCACTACCGGTGGGTGCCGTCCCGTAATGCATATGACACATAAGGGTGTGTCACTAGAAAACGAATCATGAGCTTCCTCATATATTCCTTGTTCCTTTGGCATTAGGGATGTTGTACCGCTCTATCCATGTACTGTTGGCGCGGTGGGTGCTCTACGCTTCCTAGATAGACGCGCTTTCGATAGGTTTTGTACTCTGTGGCTCTTGTGCCATCGATGATCGCTGTACACTCTACTGAATGTGCAACATTATGTGCCCTCCCAAGAAAATGAGGTGGACTTCATTATCCAGTACTGAGTTTCCGAGTTCCCTTCTTTTCCCGTCCCATAGCATCCTATTCAATTTCATTTACCCATCCAGTCTCGTTTCACCTGGTCTCGTCTCATCTCCGTTCAGTCCCTTCCCCTCAATCCGTCCCAGTTCCGTTCCACTTTTCCTCTCCTCCCGTCTCATCGCAATCCCTTTCTTCCGTCCCATTTCCGTCCCTTTTCCCTGTTCTTTACCTTTTCCATCGCAATACCCGACCCGTTCCGTCTTACCGTCCCGTCAACGTGTCCCGTCTTCCCGTCAACGTCCCGTTCCGCCCCGCTCCTGTCCTGACAGGGTCCGGTGCTGGTAGTGACAGAACAGCTTCCTGAGCTGGCCGAGGAGCTCAGCTCAGCTCTGACTGAGGTACCCGGGGTCCGGCACGTCTTGCTGACCGCTGATGAGCCCCAGCAGCGGCTGAATGAGGCGTGAGTTAACATCAAATGTTCTTTTTACTCAGGCTACGGGAGTAATAGCTCGCATGGGTGTATTGGCTAAGTGTGTCGGCACCGTCTTAGACGAAGGGTCGGTGGCCGGTGGGTTAGGCATGCTGCTTATCCTAGCGTCAGGCGAATAGTTCGTCGGAAAGCGTTTGACGCTTTACTGTAAGTGCCACACTTTAAACGGCCTTACGGAATGACCATACGCTCTTTAGTGTGACGATTATTTATGCAAAATGGCACTTTGTGTAGTTGGCCGATCTAATCTTAATCACCTCCCAGCCTACATTGGGACGAAATAAAACAAAAGTGTGAACGTCACCAGGCGACAGTCAAGTGCCAAGCTGCGAGCGGACCAAGTTTTAGTGTGCCATGCATTAGCCCATAACTCACAGCTGGGTTATTACTCACAGCGGCCCATAACTCACGGGTCATGCTAGGTTACACGGCAGCGGGCAGGAACCGCAGAGCTGTGATGGATGACATGGTACAGTTGTAGTTACCGCTGATAAGAAGGGTGGTGGAAGTTGTGGGGTGATGTTTAATTACACTGGAGCTGGACAGAATATTCTAGTAATGTTTCCTGTTTTTAACATGCCGTTTTATTTGTGAATTGATCGTTGTTTTATTACCTTCTAGCGGACATGTCGCTGTGTTATATGTTCAAGTATAAGAGTCTTAACCGACCTGACCGGGCCCCTCTGCTGACCTGTGACCGGTCAGGCTGCGTCAGCGCGCCGTGCTGGTGCTGAGCTGCGGCGCTGAGGTGCCGACGCGCTGGCCGCTGTCCCGCTGCGCGCTGCTCGTGCCGCTGCTGCCTCCCGCTGCCGCTGGTCCACTGGTACAGCGGTGCCGTGCCTCCTCAGTGGCTGTCCGCTGTCTGCCCGTGAGGCCCGACTGGGAGGCGCTGAGACACCCGGAGAGACACGGTGAGACACTGAGGGATACAGCAGGGAGGGGGAGGACTGAGACACCCGGCAGAGAAAATCGGCGAGGAGGCCGAGGGACACAGGCACCCGGTGAAACACTGGAACGAGACACGCGAATGAGACGCTCGGTGTCTCGGACAGGGACAGACGCACGGCGTAGGGCACGCGGCGAGAAGGAGCCGTTGTGCAGCTACAATGTTTTGTCCTTATCGCCTCAAGCGTGGTTAGCTATCGTCAATGTTAACATTATTCAAATTCCTCATACGAGATCGGCCTTCAAAGCAGAGCTTCACCTACTCGTATACGTGGTGCAGCAGCGTACGTGTGTTCAGCAGTGGTCCGATTGGTACGAATTTCGGTTTTTAATTGTGACTGATTGTGCGTTTGCATTGGTTAAGTTTTTTTTTCTCATCACGACGCCCTCTCATCATTTGATCGTTTGACTCTGACTCTTTAGTAGTCACCTTATTGCGGAAAGAGCCAAACCCGCCAAAACAAATTAATGCATGAAAATCGACGGTTTAAAAGCGGCATTCGGTATGCCACTGTACAGAAACGGCACCCGTTATGCTTTGACATTCCAGGAGGCAGGAAACCATAGGTGACAACGCTATTGCCGATTCCAAGACAAACTTGCAGGTTCTTTCGGTCGTGGAAACGTTCAGCAGGAGCTGGGGCGTAGCAATAGGCGCTTCTAGCCTGGTCGCTGATGCTGTGTAAAATGACGAAAAGGAGTGCAGTTAGCAACCATTATTTGCCTATCTGCGTGTCTTTGCCGCTTTTTGTCGAAGCCTACGGGCTACGAGTGACGTATATCTGTCTGTTGTCCGAATGACCTAGTTAGATTCAAACAAGTTACGCTGTACTACTTGCTATGCTTTATAAAAAGTCCTGTCAAAGTGAGATGAACCCATTTTTTTTGATTTGACCTGCGAATACATGCTTCCAGCTTCGTAACCAGTTGGTAATGGTATATCATTCGAGCAAGCACAGGCCATTGTGAATATGAAATTCTTTGACCCTTATTCTGCCATCGTAGCGTATAGTTTTCATGACGAATGAACCGATAAGGGACAAGGAGACATTCCCATTTCCTTTCAAATCGTCAGTTTCCAATAGCTCGTCCTTTTTGTCGGCCCCCTCATCGTCGCCACATTATGACTGATACGCTGCCTGGTGATGTGCTATTCGTGACCAAGGTATGATATCAATGGATAGGTCTGGCGTTCCGGTACCATGTGACGCAACTAAAACAAAGGTGATACAACGAATGCTATAGCTCTATATGAGCGGAATGTATGGGGAACCGGTGACAATCTATCCAGCAATTCACACCATTGGTCGGCTGAAGAAAGGAACAAAAGCCGCACTGGACTATTTTGGTCATTTTCCGACATAGCGGGTCGTATCACAAATAAGTCCGCGCTCGTTGTATCGCTTATACTTGGGCACACCCTCCCACGCAACGCGTTTGCGATCGACAAATGTATGTGTGCGAGCTTACCATTTATTTTGCTCGTGTCGCCATATAGGGCCTTGTCGTTGCCATGTGTCACAGGATCCGTGAGGACCCCGATTAATCAGCCACGGGTGCTGGTCGGTCGACAGTCGCAGTCTATGCGCATTCTATTCATGTACAGCCCTCAGCAGACTGCGTGGTAGGTATTCTTTTTTTTCGACAAAACCGGAAATAACTCAGACTGTGTTTTCAGTCGGTCGGAACTCACTGCAAATAAAGGCTCCACTCCTTCGATTGGGTATTTCACTAAACAAAGTATATGCCTTGTGTGGCAGCAAAATGCAAAAGTTTGTTTTCGGGGCGAATATGAACTTTAGGGTGTTGTTGCCAAACTGGATGGAAAATGAATACGATATGGTAATGCCAATCCAAGGTGCGGAGTCTCACGCGTCTTGCTGTTACGATTTCCGGGTGACCGATAGCATAGTTTCCGCGTTATTCTCGGTTTTGTCGAAAAAAGAATACCCACCACACCACGCAGTTGGCAGAGGGCTTTACAATTCATTCTAAGGTGGCCTACCGGCGTCATTTCTAAACTAGCGTTAGTCACGTTTAGCTCTGTCCTGTCACTTCCACCTCGCTTTATAGCGTCCTACCATACCCTCTTTGCGTTGGCCACACGTGCGGCCGGCACCTACCGTGCCTGCGACGTTCACTGGGCGCCCCGTCACGGAAACGATTCCAGTCCACACGCATCTATTATGCATGACTGTGTCTATTATTTATGACTGTTTGGTAAAATGGTCGGTAAGCCGAACTTGAAGTTTTTGTAGCGCAGTTAACAAAATATTAGTAATTTTGTGATAGCAGTGCTGTTAAGCGCGATCTTATATGGTTTACTGTTGGTAATTCACCGTGAGAAATAACTATTTGTCTGGCCGATTGTGATGGCATCTATGCTAATTCCTGATGCCGGTACTGACCATATTTTGTTTGTCCGTTGATAGTTGGATGTCTTTGCGTTATGTATGCATGGATCACTGCATAACGCCAACGCCACAAGTCATCAGTTAGCTGAAGTAGACTAGACTGTGTCGCTTATCATGCAGTTCAGCGCCTCAATTCAATATACCTTGGTTAAGCCGTGCTTGTGGTGACCTTGGAGGCACAGAGACTAGAGTGTCTCATTTGACCTGCGTGATAAATTGCACACTGAACAGTGCGCACTGCACAACCTCTAAGGGCGGCACGTCCTTCTGTAGTCATCCACTTATACATACATTTTTTACGCATTAATGACGCGGGCGGCAATAGTGCTCAAGGATCATGACTTACGAGTAGGCACACACCTATATAGGCTATAGCTGTACATACATATATACTTACATCGCGCAAAGAAACCTTAAACCACCGCTGTTGTATGAAATTCAACCATTGGCTTCTTTCCATACTCACTGTCCTGCGCTTCCTCTACCTACACCCGTCTCACGACTGTCTCCCCTTCCTCAGTGCTCGTCTCCCCTCCCCCTGCACCGCCGCCGCCCGGACCCCCGCCGGCCGGCCAGCCGGTCTCGGTGGTGGCCTGTGCTTCTGCTGCCGAACGCTGGGGTCTGCGGCGTCTGGAGGAGCTCTCCGGTCACACTGTCACCGCCCACGTCAGAGATTACAGGTGGGTAGGGGAGGGATCTAGAGACTACAGGGATATGGAAGGAATCCATGGATTACAGGTAGAAAGGAGAGGGATTCAGAGACTATAGTAGAGCAGGCAAGGGATCCAGGGATTCCAGGTGGAAAGGGAGGTACCCAGACACTACAGGTGGGTGGAAGGGAAGGCCCCATATCCAGAGATGTAATCGGGTGGCGCAGCACTATGCCCCTCATCTGACCCGGTCCGAGTCGACATCAGCTCTGACCCGGGGGATGCTGCGTCCCCAGCCGGCTGGTCGGGCTCTCTGCCGGCCCGTTCCCCGATCTGGTGCTGGCCGCCGACTCCTGTCTGCTGGTGCGCTCCCTGGCCGACCTGGCGTCCCCCTCGGACGGCCAGCGGCTGGCGGCGGAGGTGCGCGCTCTGCAGCAACAGGCGGCGCTCTGCTGGCTGGTGGTGGTGGGCCGCCGCCGCGCCGCCGCCGCCGCCGATACCGACACCAGGTCAGTGACATTGGCACTGACACTAGGTCAGTGATATATTATGTCATTGTCATCGGTTTGAGACGCCGACTCCGGGTTAGATGTCAGTGACAAGCACAGCACGGTTGTCAGACTTCACGCACTCAGCTGGCCCAGTTAATCCTCACTCTCCCTTTGGGGACGTTGCCTAGCGTATATTTTTTCTTAGTTTTGACTGACTGACTCGTGCCGATCCGCTAATATCGTCCGTTTGGTCTCTGATGGCCCGCTAAAACTTGAGTCTGACGTGAACTGACCTTAAATCGATCGTCTGACCTCGTGTTAACCCGCTACTATCGACCATCTATCTAACCCGCGTTGACCCGCTAATATCGACCGGCTGACCCGCTGCTACCGCTCGTGCGACCTCTGTTGACCCGTGGTTGACCCGCTACTATTGACCGCCCTGACCCGTGTTGACCGCCCGTCGAGACACGGGTCCGGGCCGGCCGACCGCGTGCCCCGGGGGCATTTGTCGGCGGTGCACCCCGCTGCGTGAATGTCGGTGATTAACCGGTGCCGGTAAGTCGTGTGTGTGCCCCACGACAGCCGCGGCGCCGTGGCTTTCAGTGCGGACCGCTGCCAGGCAGCGTTACCGGTGGGTTAATTACCGGTGGAATGGGCGCAGCCGTGCGGCCTGACCCGGCCCTGCCCCGCCGCCACGGTCGTTACCGCGCATGGTATCAAATATTCAGTTAACCATCACTGCATGGCGACTCGATGCACTGCGTGCACTAAATATGAACTTCTGGAAATGAGGGCATGCTTCAATGCGGCGATTAAATGGTAATCGGTAAGCATTTTTTTTCGGATGCAGTCACTTTTTACCGCGGAAAATGATAAAGGCATAGAAGCCGTGAGTACAGCCTTATGAGTTGAAATGTATTTTTTTTAGGGAGCCGGACTTGAGCCGTGGCAGTGGGCCGGATTTGAGCCGGACTTGGCAGTCCGAAACCATCCAAACTCCGAAGCGCCAGGGCAAAGACTGGCAAACCGAAATGAAGCCATCATATCGACCCAAATCCCCTGTTCCGACGGCGCTCCGTTTACACCGGCGCAAATCTGGCATATTGGAGTTGCAGGGGCAAAAAAGACTTCAGGCAAACCAAATTGCTGGCTGGAATTCTTGACATTCTTCTACAAGTGAAACATGCTTGCACAAGGCAATCTTTTCGGAACGAGAAATGGAATATCTACTTAAGGTGATCGTTGGGCCGTAAAAGCTCCCGATTTGTGCTAGTCTCAGCTCAAGCTACATAACTGCTATTCCAGTTCAAAGCCCCATGTTAAAAGTGGCATATTTTCGTTAAGTGCGTGCAACGGTGCCTCGGCTTAACTTTTTAAGCGAAACGCTTTGTGCAAACTCTTTCATATGTGTCCTCGATTTGAGAGTCGCATGAGCCTAATAAACAGCTGCGAATGTTGATGGTGTTTATGGTGATCACCTACCAGCGTTCGTTGTAATTCACTCACGGCTTGCCTGATCATGGTGGCACGACAGCGCATTGTGGCCAGACTGTGGCCCGTGTTCACCGGCCCCGGCTCCTTATCAGCTGCATCGTGACGCAGTTCTGATATAGCCTTCAGTGAAGCGACAAACCGCGCTGGATAGTACATGTATACATAATGGCACAGGCAGGGTTATTCTTGACCGAACATCGCCATTTTGCAGATTGGCAACTACGTTGTCTGGTTAAAAGGGAGCTTCGACTAGCATAACTAGTTACATTTTTGACGTTTTTCATTGCAGTAGACATGCCCAATGCTCATGTCAAATAAATGAACTACATTGCAATATTCCGGGGTCCTCTAATCGCCTTTTTGCTCGCAATGCCAACTGCCCACCACTCAACTAACCTCCACAGCGCGCACCATACACTTAGGTACGAGATCCAGAAGATGGCTGAGAGTCCTGTTCTGACTTCGATTCCGGACTAAGCGCTGGTCATGCCGCCTCTGTCCGTCCTGTTTCTGTCTGCGTCTGACTCAGAGACTCGCCGGTTCTCTTCGTCTGTGCTCGTACCGCCTCTGTCCGTCCTGTTTCTGTCTGCGTCTGACTCAGAGACTCACCACTAACCGTCAGTGTCTCCCTGCCGTCTATGGTTTTCTCTGATGTGTCTCCGCAGGCTTCTCTATTTGTCTCTAGGTCTATGTCTCCATGTCGCGAAGTCTTTATGTCTCTAAGTCTCTGTGTCTCTAAGTCTCTGTGTCTCTAAGTATCTGTGTCTCTAAGTCTCTGTGTGTCTAAGTCTCTAAGTCTTTATGTCTCTAAGTCTCTGTGTCTCTAAGTCTCTGTGTCTCTAAGTCTTTATGTCTCTAAGTCTCTGTGTCTCTAAGTCTCTGTGTCTCTAAGTCTCTGTGTCTCTAAGTCTCTGTGTCTCTAAGTCTCTGTGTCTCTAAGTCTCTGTGTCTCTAAGTCTCTGTGTCTCTAAGTCTCTGTGTCTCTAAGTCTCTGAGTCTCTAAGTCTCTGTGTCTCTAAGTCTTTATGTCTCTAAGTCTCTGTGTCTCTAAGTCTTTATGTCTCTAAGTCTCTGTGTCTCTAAGTCTCTGTGTCTCTAAGTCTCTGTGTATCGAAGTCTCTGTGTCTCTAAGTCTCTGCTTTGTGTCTCTAAGTCTCTGTGTCTCTAAGTCTCTGTGTCTCTAAGTCTCTGTGTATCGAAGTCTCTGTGTCTCTAAGTCTCTGTGTCTCCAAGTCTCTGTGTCTCTAAGTCTCTGTGTCTCTAAGTCTCTGTGTCTCTAAGTCTCTGTGTCTCTAAGTCTCTGTGTCTCTAAGTCTCTGTGTCTCTAAGTCTCTGTGTCTCTAAGTCTCTGTGTCTCTAAGTGTCTGTGTCTCTAAGTCTCTGTGTCTCTAAGTCTCTGTGTCTCTAAGTCTCTATGCCTCTATCTCGGCAGGCGGGAGGAGGCGGTGGTGGGTCGGCTGCGGGCCCTGCTGGCCTCCGCCGCTCACCTTCCCGAGTATACGCTGCGCCTGGTGCGTGCCGATCAGGACAGCGTGGTGCACATCGTCCTGGATATCGTGCAGCAGACCAGCGAGACGGTGAGACGGGCGGGGAGGGAGAGAGGCAAGGATGGGAGGGAGAGAGGAGGGGAACACGAGAGGGTTTTCTGGGAGGCAGGAGGTTTAGGACTTTGAGCAGAGGCGTTTTACTTTTTCGAGGCAGTATGCTGAGGCTGAAGAGGGAGAATATGGTGAAGAAAGAGAGAGGGTACTGTGTGGTCTGCGAGTCGACATTGTGATAAGTGATTGTGCGTAGTTCCACTATTATTATGGCACACTCAGCCTGGACCTATGCACCCTATCAATTTCGTTGATGAATGGGACTATGCCACAAGCTTACTGTGTAGTTTAATCGTTTGTTCAGTTCTGTTTGTTGTCGATAAATGCAAACACGGGCCGCCACATTATGTACTGTTCATGTGTTTGTTTGTGACAGTTATCGGATGGGCGGCGACATTCTGGCGCGGGTTCTTTATTAGCGTGACAATAACTTTTAATAAAGCATAGTTGCTCTGAGTACGAGCTCTGAGTACTGAGTACATGGAATGTCACTACATGCTTAACCTTTTGTACTTTATTTCAGGCTCAAATGGCATGCTATTCATATTTCATATACGGCAATAAAAACTGAGCCATTTCAGTTCTGGTATGTCAATCACTGTGAGTGGGGCCCGCGATGACGAACATTTACCGTTGCTCACAACCCTGAATTGGCTGTTGAACCGTCGCAACCATTCGTAGCTATCCCATCCCCAACACAAAGATCCATGCATTTTCAAAAAAATTTCTTTGTATTCCATTAGCGCAACCTATCACGAAGAAGTCTTTTGATTAGCCACTTTTAATTGCGCTGTATCAATTCGCGAGTGCTAATACGCCGTTGTTGTTGCTGTCGGTCGATCGACCGTAGCTGGCATTCGTGTTTCTTTCGGATTCCTTATGAATGTTTATGATAAGGACAAAACCGATAAACGACCTTTTTGCCCAGCCAGATAGTCCCACTCGATCCCACCCGGGATTTCTGCACACAGTGCACACATCCCACCCGGGATTTCTGCACACAGTGCAACCCTCGATTGAGATTGGGGCGGTATCTGGAAATGTGACACTGTACGGGCGTAAGGCGTCCCGAATATCCCATCCTTCCCCGCGCTGCCGGTAGGGACATCCCGAGGGCAACCGGAGCGTCCTGACATTTCTCTTCTTAGATGGGATTTGTGTGGGATATCCCAACAAGTATCTCTGTGGGTCAAGGAGAGACTTCAGAAATGCGCCTCTTATAGTTAGGTAAAAATAGAATAGTTATATAAAATGACAGTTGGCTAGCCAGGAACGAAATCGTTTTAGATATGCCGAGTATACCTGCCCCGGTAAATCGGAATTTTTGGAGATTATCGTGACATTCCCCAACAATATATCGACCAAATTGCTGCCTATGTAGTATGCACATGTAAAATGTCGTGGATTGTGGAAAGGAAGGTTCCATTTCATGGCTGCAGACTGCAGTCTGCAGAGGAATGTATTTATTCTGCTTTTCATCGACAGTCATAGCTTTAACGAGCAAGTAGAAATCGCAAATGGAGAACGAATCCGTGTAATAATTTCCAAAGTAATATCAACTGTGAACTGACTTATGTACATCATGTGTTGTGCTGAAGCCCTTTTGTTGTAACCACCCGCGGGCTGAGTTATGAGCACGTCGTGTCCCCCTCCGTTATCAATATGAAAGTACCTACATCCAGCCGCCCTTATCTGTCCGCCAGGCGGGATCGGCGGGTGACGGACGGTCAGACGACTTCCAGCCCTCCGCCGACGCCCAGTGCACAGAGGACGAGTGGCTTCTGCTGCAGCTGCCGGCGTGTAACGCCGTCTCTGCGGGCCTCCTGCTCCGGCGGGCCGGAGGGCTGCAGCAGCTGCGCGCTGCTCCGCTCGGACGGCTCGTTCAGATCATGCCAGAGCTGCCGGTCAGGGTCCTGGCAGCCCTGCAGCGCCACCTACAACAGCCGAAACAGACGACAGCGACACCGGGGTGGGTAGCAGCCGGACGGCCTGCGTGGTGTCCGTCAGCACTGAGAACGGTGACAGACGGTCACGTTTCCTGATAAGTCTGTCAGTAGCTTTACATCAGATTATGAACTGAACTCACCGTATGTGGGCTGTTGTTTTTCTGTCTATTTGTTCTCTGGATTATCTGAATAAATATTCCTATGTTTGGGTTAACATTGGTTGTTTACGATTTTACATTGCCGCTAAATTGTGCGAATATTTATATTCATTCAGCAATCAGCATTTCTCAGTGACTTTAGCATCAAATCTTATCAATCCTGTACCCTTTCCTCGACAGTGACTTCTGCGTAGATGGTATGGCACCTATGAACAACCAAGACCTAACCGGCCCGGGCTTCCTGTCGTTGCCTCGGCCGCCTTCGCCGCCCACAGCGGCCTTCCCTTCCGACGTCCTCCGACGAGAGCCCACCGTTCCCTGTAGCCGTCATCGGCGGCCCGGGCTCCATCCCGACGTTCCCCCGTTTGGCACAGAGTGCCACACACGGCCACCGTACGATGACGAGTCAGACGGGGACTATGGATCGCGTCATCACCCGGTCTACGGCGGGCGGTTCGACCGACAGCACGGCTCGGAGCACGGCCTGGAGCACGGCGGCTCTGCGGCCGACGGGACAGACGACTGGCTGACCGCCCCGAACGCGGTGGACCTGCTGGCTGCCGAGGCCTGTTCCGACGAGTGCAACCCTCACTGGCTGGATGAAGACAATGTGTATGACGGTAGGTAAACGGAAGGGATGGCTGGGGAGGGGTGGGGATGGGAGAGGTGGCGGGTTTGTGTGTAGGTAGGTGGACGCCGGATGAAATGAAAAAAAAAATCGTAGCCTGTAGGCTGTAGGGACCATGGATGTTAGTGGCAGATGAAAGGTCGTCGTACGCCCCCCCCCCCCCCTCCTTACCAGGGGTGGAGATCTGTCAAAATGTCAGGGGGGTCCAGGCCGGGCAGATTGAGGCGGGCTGGATGCAGTACCATTGACTTACTTAGCAGTAATTCGTTTTCAGGGGGAATCCTGACCCCCCCCCGATCCCCGACCCCCCCCCCCCCCGATATCTCCACCTCTGCTCCTTACCACCCCGCCCGGTCGCGGGATGGCCGGCCATCCCCTTGGCCACCCCAGCCCGGCAAGGCCCTTCTCCGGAGAGAAGCGGGCCTGCCGGGCTGGCCGGGTTCCGAAGGTTTTAAAGCGCCACCTGAACTGTGTGTGACCTTCACCTTTTCTCGCTGCCTTTTCAGACTCACCGCCAATGGAAACGAGTCAGTGACGTCATGGCTTTCCTGGTGACGTCATCTGGAGAGTCCGGCTGAGCCGAGTGCGGTGGCGGTGGATAAGGCTTGGATACTGCTTGCACAGCACGCAAAGAGCTAGCTTTCGTACCCATGACCGGACGATTGATCTCGTAATTTGGCGGCTAGTGATTGAAATGCCCATTTGTTCCGTGGAGTGAGGAAATAAACGTGTTCAGTTGTCGAATAACTGCGTAATTCTTTATTGTTCCGCCTGATCGGGAGAGACAGCAGTATGACGCAACCCGGGATCGCCGGTACGACCTGTGCGACCAGTGTCGCTTTTCGGATTGGATGGGAAGGGCGCCAGGAGTTCGTCGCCTCGCCTTGGGACCGTGGACTGAAATCCCCATGTCACACGAGTAGTGTGACTTGTGAGTCATCGGTTATAACTGTGTCCGAATGGGTCACGGGTGCTCATCCCTCCCCCAAATGCCCCTTGCCGGTCCTGCATTGCGCCCGACAGACTTCGCCGGGGACCCCCTTGAACTCGCCCTTTGACGTATGAGTCCGACCCGCGGGTCACAATCTACGCGCCACATACGGCCTTGCGCGCCACATGCCGCCGGAGCCCGGAGCACCACGTGTCGGAAGAGGGAGGAGGCCCTTCAGGGGGGCGATAGCGCACCACTGAAAAGGCCAAGGGTGCGCCAAGCCTGATGAACAGGAGACGGTGTCTGATTATAATCACTTTCATTAGCATAATTTTGTGCAATCAAGCTTCGTTGAAATATTTAAACATTGTCATTGCTCTAAGATACCATTACAATCAATTAAAACCTTGAAACTAGGCTAAAGTTAGACCTCGAAGTTTTATAGTGTCAAACCCGCTTTCCGTTGAAAAATACTAATTGACAAAAAGTGTTCTGCCATTTTATTCACAAAATAGATCCAAATCTAAGAAATTTCAAACAATGAGAAATAACAAATGCAAAATGTTGGGAACTTAATCAAAAGTTGCATTTCTAAAATATAAAAGCATGGTGAAAACCGCCAAGGTCTTAGGCCAAATGCTACCAGATTACACCGCTGCTGGATATGGAAGCCCTAAGTCCGAGCTCTCTCCTTCATTTTGTTCCTCTGTGTGTCGAAGGCGTCTGTGGCGCGGGACGTGTGTTCTCGCGCACTTCGCCTACCCATATTGTGCTAAAAAATACAAAAAAATCAGAAAATATAAAACCCTTAAACATAATTGTGGTGTAGCTCCGAACCAAGTCATCAAACCATGAATTCGGCCGGCCCAAACTATCCCATGGCGTCCCTGTACGTCGGGGATCTCCATCCGGACGTAACTGAAGCCATGCTCTTTGAGAAGTTCTCGACTGCTGGCCCTGTCCTGTCCATCCGAGTTTGCAGGGACATGATCACCCGTCGTTCCCTCGGCTACGCCTACGTGAACTTCCAGCAGTCGGCTGACGGTAAGTCAAACTGTTCTTTTTATGGATTTGGAATAATGCTGCTTATTGTGGCTTATGCGGATACTGCTCTGCATTGCTATTATGTGGCTATATCAATAAGCACATTTGTCACAATGTGTCATAAAACTGTCACTTTACCATGCTGAATTTAGGCTGAAACAATGGCTGTCTGTTTGTTTCAGTGCTGTTTAAATTGTTGGCTTAATTTGTAGGGCTGCTTGTAATGATGTTTTGTGAGGAGGCAAGAGTGCAGGTGAAAAATTACCTACTATTTTCAATGGTTTTTCCAGGAGCAACCTAAAAATTGGGCTTTGGTGCTTAATTAAATAACAAGTTGAGGAGGCCCTAAGCAGCAATACAATTGATATAATTCAATGCCAAATGCTGCTGGCTTCCATTAGTTATTGCTTCATCCTTTGCCAAAAATTTCTTTTGTGAGTAATGTGCTGCCTTGTTATTTATCAACAACCTTATCTTCAAAAAAAAAAATCCCTTCTTTGCTGTCATGGCAATAAAGAAGAATATGCCTATTTGTTTTTGCACTTAAAAGCTGAAGGAGCATCACAAATTCTGTATTTGCATGAAATAAAGCAAATAATTTTGCAGAAATCTAAGTGCTTTAGGCTCAAGTGGTATTCCAAATTCAAAATAGGCATTGCATTGTAAGGCATATTTGCAAAAGAATAGGTAGGCATGATGGGTAGGTATATTGATAATGATTGGGTCCAGAGCTGTGAAATGTTTCTATATGTGGCTATGGACTTGGCAATGTGGTAATCAATCAATTCAAGACTCACTTAACACTTCACAGCTCACTTAGTACCCAAATGTTTACATATAAACACGTGTGAATGCAATATTGCTATTTACTGCAGTAAGTCTGGTTGAGATTGTTAGGCAGATCCATTCCACTGAGGAGTTTGGTAACCTGGTAGAGGATAAGTCACAATTGTATGCTTCCTGGCTGGTTCTCAATGATGTTCCCTGCTCTTATTGTTCACTCCATTACTGCCCACTCAACAAAAGTATGCCTTCTTGGCCTAAGGCTCCCAATGGAGCCAAATACTTTCAAAGGAAAATGAAATGTATCTCTCCCTGAATTTTTCAGCTCCCCCTCATTATGTTCTTGCTGGTTCTTGCTTGAGTTGCTTTTTATATCAGGTCATTACTCATGCACATTAATCCTAAAAACAGCTGCTGCAGTGGTGAGTGTTTCCAAAACATGTGATTGCTGGCAGAATATTATGGCACATTGGCATACTAGCTTGATGCTGGCCTGGCACATCACAATGCTGCAGAGGTAGCACTCAGCACTTACCTAGTTTATATGATTTTAAGCCTTGAAAAGTGAATGGATGAACATTTTCTAAAAAAAATCACTTCACCCTTCATTTGCTGCAAGCAGGTCACCAGAGGGACAGATTTGTGATCATTTAGCATTAATACATAGGAAGGTGTGCAATGTTCTGATTAATGATAGTTCCATATAGGGTTTCTCTTAGAGGCGTATGTGTGTTAAAAGATTATCAATGGGGCATACCTCTAGAATTAAATTTAAAAAAATGTTAAGAAGGAATTAAGAAATATATGGCTGACTAACACTGAGTTTTCCTAAAATCTATTAATTTCAGTGTAATGAACTTCCGGTATGTCAGGTTTTTATTTAGCTAAAGGTCTGCCAAGCTGTGGTTTGTGCACGCGGTCTATCTAACGTTTCGTCGCGCTCCAATTTCGTCACCGGTCGACCCGCTGGGAGAGAACGTGGCCCGCAGCTTGCACCACCTTCGTGGCACTGCCTGGTAACGTCTTGCATAATCCTACCATGGATGGAGTGTTCAGCATTTCACCACAATACCTGGGCCCCCGAGCGTCGGAGCCAGTGATAATGCTCGGGTGTTTTGCTTAGTGCGAAGTTCAGTTCATATGGCTGCTGGCATGTGCAGCTTTTTGATTCAAGAGTCGAATATTGGCCTTTTGGAAGGGATAGAATATCAAGTTAGCGCAAAAAGTTGCGTTCATAGTTTACGCACAAATTTATTATCGTTCTTGTCCAGGTGCATAAACAGACGGACAGCTGTCCCGTTCAGCTCGATCGCCTGCCTCTGGCCACTGCCCTGCCGTCCCGGCCGTGACGGCTGCGGCGCAGTTGGCCGGCCGGCCGCCGGGCGATCTGGCCGGGCCCGCGGCCCGTGACGGCGGCCCGTTCACAGGCCACAGCGCTTTCTCCGACCGGGCCGGGCCGGTTCCACCGCGACTTTCTAACCGGGCTGACCGGTGCCACCGAGTTCCCGGCGCACGGCGCGGCGAGAGGCCCGGTGCGGCCACAGCTGGGGCCCCGCGTGGGGACAGCCGCCGGCACCTGTGATGGAGTGGGGTTGGGGTGGGGAGGGGTGATCGGCGTGACTTACGCTTAGAATGAGTCACGTTTGGGCCCTGGTCATTAGACGCGGTATATTAAGTTAGACGCCTTATAATGGGAAAGTCATGCACATCGTGAAGTACGGCGCCACAATATGAAAGGTTCTACCATAGATCATAATGGGCCAAATGCAATCCGAAGGGATTGCATTTGGGAAGGGAATGCTATGACACCGGCGTCTGGTACGATTTATCGAAATTAACTGAATTTTCGAGTGGTGACTCTAACGTCTTGCGCGTTTGCTCTGAAAGTAATGTGAAGCGGATTTGGTACTAAATCTTCAGCACGCTGCAAGATTTACCACGCTGTTCGTCGCGTCTGATATGGAGCATGGACAATGCACATTGTGCCATGCACATGACTGACTTGAGTCAATAGTGAGCATCCGCTCGGCAAAATTTGCCTGAAAGGGTTTCGCTTCATTGATGAATGCAGCTTGTTATAAATCATTAATGACTCGTGTTCTTGGTGTTAGCACAAAATCTTTTCCAGGCCTAAAAACAAACCGAAAGATGTGTTTTTTATGTACCAGTGCTAAGCACAGGACGTACCTATATAAATCTGGGACGTGCAACTAACATTTTACCGTGCAACTACACATGTGACTTCACTGTTGCGGACAAAACGAACTACGAACTAGTTCATGTTTTATCAGGCTTCATTTTTCATCATGCAATGGGCGGCTGTTTATGTGATGAGAATTTGGAGCCTGCTCTTCTGGCGTTGAGCTCAACTCAGGTCGGTCGGACCAGGTCGGACCCTTGGTCGTGCTAACAGAGCCTGATAGATCGGGATGGCTGGACGTTTTTTTTTTTAGATTTGAACCGGCTTCTGGCGTGGTTTTATTGTTCCTACAGCTTACACTCGTACCTACCAATATCAGACTAGATTGGATATCAAACTCTTGGTGCAGATGGTTTCCTTGAATTGAGATTATTTTTTATCATCCATCGCGCTATGTTCTATACCGGCATCAATCGACTTTGTTGACTTTGTCTGACGAGCTTGCCTGTTTTCTTCTGTTCTCAGCTGAGCGCGCCCTGGACACGATGAATTTCGACGTGGTGAAGGGTCGTCCGATCCGCATCATGTGGTCCCAGCGCGACCCGTCGCTGCGCCGCTCCGGCGTCGGCAACATCTTCATCAAGTCGCTGGACAAGTCGATCGACAACAAGGCCATGTACGACACGTTCTCGGCCTTCGGCAACATCATGAGCTGCCGCGTGGCCACCGACGAGAACGGCGTCTCCAAGGGCTACGGCTTCGTCCATTTCGAGACCGAGAAGGCGGCCAACGACGCCATCGAGAAGGTGAACGGCATGCTGCTCAACGACAAGAAGGTGTTCGTCG